AGTTCAGTTCTAGTTCAGTTCTAGTTCAGTTCTAGTTCAGTTCTAGTTCAGTTCTAGTTCAGTTCTAGTTCAGTTCTAGTTCAGTTCTAGTTCAGTTCTAGTTCAGTTCTAGTTCAGTTCTAGTTCAGTTCTAGTTCAGTTCTAGTTCAGTTCTAGTTCAGTTCTAGTTCAGTTCTAGTTCAGTTCTAGTTCAGTTCTAGTTCAGTTCTAGTTCAGTTCTAGTTCAGTTCTAGTTCAGTTCTAGTTCAGTTCTAGTTCAGTTCTAGTTCAGTTCTAGTTCAGTTCTAGTTCTAGTTCAGTTCTAGTTCAGTTCTAGTTCAGTTCTAGTTCAGTTCTAGTTCAGTTCTAGTTCAGTTCTAGTTCAGTTCTAGTTCAGTTCTAGTTCAGTTCTAGTTCAGTTCTAGTTCAGTTCTAGTTCAGTTCTAGTTCAGTTCTAGTTCAGTTCTAGTTCAGTTCTAGTTCAGTTCTAGTTCAGTTCTAGTTCAGTTCTAGTTCAGTTCTAGTTCAGTTCTAGTTCAGTTCTAGTTCAGTTCTAGTTCAGTTCTAGTTCAGTTCTAGTTCAGTTCTAGTTCAGTTCTAGTTCAGTTCTAGTTCAGTTCTAGTTCAGTTCTAGTTCAGTTCTAGTTCAGTTCTAGTTCAGTTCTAGTTCAGTTCTAGTTCAGTTCTAGTTCAGTTCTAGTTCAGTTCTAGTTCAGTTCTAGTTCAGTTCTAGTTCAGTTCTAGTTCAGTTCTAGTTCAGTTCTAGTTCAGTTCTAGTTCAGTTCTAGTTCAGTTCTAGTTCAGTTCTAGTTCAGTTCTAGTTCAGTTCTAGTTCAGTTCTAGTTCAGTTCTAGTTCAGTTCTAGTTCAGTTCTAGTTCAGTTCTAGTTCAGTTCTAGTTCAGTTCTAGTTCAGTTCTAGTTAGTTCTAGTTCAGTTCTAGTTCAGTTCAGTTCAGTTCTAGTTCAGTTCTAGTTCAGTTCTAGTTGAAGTCTAGTACTTTACAATATTTTTTAAATTATATCCATTCACTTTGCATTTTATATCGTGGAACTATTAAACTACAACCATATTGGGTATTTGAAATTTCCCAATTCCCTTGTACACTTCAAAAGTTATTAACATATTTCTAAGTTAATCTACAATTAATATTAATCATACGCTCTAGGGAGTCATTTACTAAATGATTGATATTATTATGTTATCGTTAACTACATATATGTATGTTCATACATATAATTTTTTTTAGTATTCTGCACCAAAATTCCCACAATTTCCATTAATCAGTGACCTCGTTTAAACTGTTGGGTTTTTTTATTAACTTAATATTTTTTACAATTCTTTGAAAAACACAATATGATTTTAATTGCTTTTCAACCGCCATTGTAAATACGTATCATTATTACAGTTAACAGTGCAATAAAACTATAAAATTTTACCTTGTGGTTGTTGAGTTTTTTTCGTTACCATGAAATATTCTCAAACACAAAAAGATGGGGGAGAACATGTTTTTACAGCCCTAAAACTACAAGAGAATTTAAGTTATTTGAGTTTTTACGAGAAAAATGCAGCTGACAAGTATTGTTTTTTTGGGGACATATGGTATACAGTTTTCGGCAAACGAGGCTAACTTATTGACTTGAGTAAATGTAAAAAAAAAGCTTTTTCTAAAATCTCAAAGAGTACTAAGTAAATACAGGGCTGAGGAGTATTTCAGTGCTATTTAATGGAACACCTTGTAGGTGCAAGGTTTAACAAATTCCCCATTTTTCAGCTTTATCCTAAAAAAAAATGCTGAAAACAGTTTTGCACTGTTCATGACTCCAAATGTATTTGATTGACACACATTTTGTCCTTTATTCACGCAGTAAAAAACCATTATTTCCGTTCATATATATTTTAAACAAATTAATAGTTGATAAGTATTCTCATATAATAAATAAAATAAAACAGCAAAACTTACCCTGCTGAAATAAAAGGCTTCAATTATATTCCTATAAAAAAATATATATTTTTAAAAACATAAAACATTTAAATGGAAAAAACTACATGTTGTCATGTAATTGTTACAAGATTAATGGCAACTGATAAAATTAACAAAAAGCAAACATATAATAAAAAATTAATACAAAAAACAAATTCTGCATTTCAGAGAAATAAATTTATGTGATAGTGATAAATAATAGCTTGTTAAAAATCTATACAAAAACAACAACAACAGCAAATTATTAAAATTGGATTAAAATTTCAAAGGACTCATAAAGGGCTGATCGTTGGCATCAAGTGGTATTTTATTTATTTAATCGAAATAAATAATGCTTGAATATATACGTAATAAAATAAGTTAACTTAAAATTGAGCCCTTTGATATAAAAAGTGGATATTTTAAATCTATAAATGATAAGCAAATATAAAAGTTTCAAAACAAAAATTTTATTAAATTAGAAAACATTTTAAATTTGGACAAAAGTTTTTGTTATTAATCATACGCATAGTAGGACAAAAATATTTTATTCAAATTTTTCATACCTTTTTTATTAAAAAAAAATAGAAAATCTTCTATTAGAGTTTTTAAAGATGACTTCAAGTTTATAAAAAAAATTGTAAGCAAAATACCAATGAAATTTATATTTATTCCAATTTTTCAAAATAACAATTTGAAGTTGTACTACGCAGCGTATGAATAATTTTTAATAGGTTATTTCCTTAAAACCTTAAACGATATTATTAAGTATTCAAAGTATTGTAATTAAACTCTTCAAAATTATAGTAGTTTGTATAGATTAATTGTATTCATTTAGTTATAATTCTATCACTTTAAATAAGATTTAAGTTTCAGTCCATAATTTGTTTATTAATAGGACCTTTAGTCTGAAGTCTTAGCATCAATATATGTATAAAAGCATATAATGACAACATTACTAACACTTTCATTTTATGACTATAATGACATTTTCTTAATAACAATTGAAAGTAACAAGAAAACTAGTTAACTAACTAACAAGAAAACTAAAATGCATTTGAAATGATGCAACGCTTTCGCAAGCCTTACAAAGAAGTTTCACTTAATCCTTTGTTTAATAATATAGTTTATCTAAGTGTTTAAATGTTGGTAAATCTCTAGCAAAAACTCCATATTTAAGTTCCCTATTTATATTTATCTTTATGGTTTAATTAGAAGTTTTATCTATTAGAATCTTCGTTATTCTTTGAGCATGTAGGAAAATTTCTTTTGTAATTTAAATATTTACTCACTTGTCACTAGCAGCTACAATCGATAAAATTTTCCATAAAATAGATACAAAAGTTTGGGCCAAAACAACTACATAGAACAGAAGATGCAAGATAGACAAGTCGGGCAACAGATATAGACTCATACAAAACAATACAACAAGAAACTTTTTACAAACAGTAACAACTACAACAAACAAGCAAAATTTACAAAAACAAAACACATTACAAATTCATATGTGCACATGAGTTTATATGTATGAAAAGTTATGGTGTGTTTGTGGAGTGACAGAGAGAGAGATAGAGAGAATTTTGTTAGGCAAAAAAGAAGAATTACAATTTTCGAAACAATAGCATAAATAAACTACTAATTTTGAACTTTAGCTCTGAGCACTAATTGTAATTTAATTTCCAATTAGTAAACAAACTAAATAACATAAATATACATCGACATACACTTATACAAAAACACACACAATAATAATAGAAAACAAACTAACACATGTTAAAATTTAACACAAATACAAGGAAATCCAGGGTTATGCACAACTGAATAGATAGAGTTTTCTAGAAGAAGAGAGAGCTGAAGAATAACAAGAGAAAAACAAATTAAAAACACGTAGTTGTCATTGTTGTTGCATAAAAAATGTTTATGTATGCATGAGTAGATACAGGTTATATAAATGTGTTAGTTTGACAATAATGCATTGAACTACATACAACTGTACTAGAACTTAACTAGAACTGAACTAGAACTGAACTAGAACTGAACTAGAACTGAACTAGAACTGAACTAGAACTGAACTAGAACTGAACTAGAACTGAACTAGAACTGAACTAGAACTGAACTAGAACTGAACTAGAACTGAACTAGAACTGAACTAGAACTGAACTAGAACTGAACTAGAACTGAATTAGAACTGCACTAGAACTGAACTAGAACTGAACTAGAACTGAACTAGAACTGAACTAGAACTGAACTAGAACTGAACTAGAACTGAACTAGAACTGAACTAGAACTGAACTAGAACTGAACTAGAACTGAACTAGAACTGAACTAGAACTGAACTAGAACTGAACTAGAACTGAACTAGAACTGAACTAGAACTGAACTAGAACTGAACTAGAACTGAACTAGAACTGAACTAACTGAACTAGAACTGAACTAGAACTGAACTAGAACTGAACTAGAACTGAACTAGAACTGAACTAGAACTGACTAGAACTGAACTAGAAACTGAACTAGAACTGAACTAGAAACTGAACTACAACTGAACTAGACTGAACTGAGCACTGAACTATGAACTAGAACTGAACTTGTTCTTAGTAAATTTCACAATTACCATCACACACATAACAACGTTTAACACAAGACAATAAACAATGAGATATCAACATGCCAATGAACAACATATAACCTACATGACCTTTAAGCTATATATGGATAAGGTTTTTTTCTTATTTTGGCAAATTTCTATTCAAAAGTTTTTATGTTTCCCTTCATAAACTAAAGAAACGTATGTAAACTAATTACTTGGCTCGCATTTCTCTTTGTTTTTTGGTAAAACATGATTTTAGCCTCTAAACAAAAGAAAGTTTTCAAACATTTTACACAGACAGAAAATTCATGGAAAAATTTCATTCAATATCCGTAACACACACGTCCATTCCTACATAACCTACTAATTTCAGAAATATACGAGACCTACACTTCAAATAGCAGGTTTATTTTTTCTGGCTTTAGTATTGTTTTTCTCATTTACATTTTTTCTCTTTTCTTCTTTATTTACAGCCTGTTGGTATTTATGCCAAGAAATATGAATGGGCAGCACGACCCTCTTCATCGTCCTCGAATGGCGGTGGCCTGCATTTAGATTTGCATCCACCACCAATGCAAATTGGTGGAGATTGTTCTTTGTGGATACGCTCGGCCACATTGGATTTTGATGATGGCCTGTGGGAATGTCAGGTGACGGCGAGTGATTTTACAACACAGGATGCTTTAACCAGTCAACCAGTACGCTTAGTTGTACGTGGTAAGTATGATCAAGTTAAAAATAGCAATTGTGCGTTGTTGCTGCACCTTTAATGGTATCTTTGGACACATCTAAAGTTCTTTTTCTAACAACACAATACAGAGGAACACTATACCTGGTTTTTAGTTTTTTGTTTTGAAGGTACATAATTCAGGAATTGGTTTAATTGGTTTGATTGAGGAAATTTTTCAATAAAATGAAAATTTAAACATTTTATTTACGGAAATCTGTATCATTATTGGTGACAGATTAAAACTAGAAAGATAGACTATAGTCAGACTATAGACTTAGACTAGACTTAGTAGGACTATAGGACTATAGACTAGACTATAGACTTAGATATAGACTAGACTATAGACTTGACTATAACTAGACTATAGTCCTAGACTATAGACTAGACTATAGACTAGACTTAGACTAGACTATTAGACTAGATATAGACTGACTATAAGACTCGACTAAGACTAGACTCTTATAGATAGACTATAGACTAGATATGACTTAGACTATAGACTAGACCTATGACTAGCCTATAGACTAGACTATAGACTGACTATAGACCAGACTTATATACAGACCTATAGACTAGACCTAGACTATACTATAGACTAGACTATAGACAGATATAGAATCAGCTATAGACTATAGACTAGACTATAGACTAGACTATAGACTAGACTATAGACTAGACTATAGACTAGACATAGACTAGACTATAGACTAGACTATAGACTAGACTATAGACTAGACTATAGACTAGACTATAGACTAGACTAGACTAGACTATAGACTAGACTATAGACTAGACTATAGACTAGACTATAGACTAGACTATAGACTAGACTATAGACTAGACTATAGACTAGACTATAGACTAGACTATAGACTAGACTATAGACTAGACTATAGACTAGACTATAGACTAGACTATAGACTAGACTATAGACTAGACTATAGACTAGACTATAGACTAGACTATAGACTAGACTATAGACTAGACTATAGACTAGACTATAGACTAGACTATAGACTAGACTATAGACTAGACTATAGACTAGACTATAGACTAGACTATAGACTAGACTATAGACTAGACTATAGACTAGACTATAGACTAGACTATAGACTAGACTATAGACTAGACTATAGACTAGACTATAGACTGAGCTCTAGACTAGACTATAGCCTAGACTATAGACTAGATATAGACTCGACTATAGACTAGACTATAGACTAGACTATAGACTAGATATAGACTAGACTATAGACTAGACTATAGCTTAGGGACTATAATAGACTCTCGACTTAGACTATAGACTAGGATTAAGATTGACTATATACTAGACTATATAGACTTAGACTATAGACTAGACTATAGACTAGACTATAGAATAGACTATAGACTAGACTATAGACTATTCTTGTCTATAGTGATAAAATAATATAACATTGCCCTTAATGGGTTAAAATTTACTGCGTACATGAAAACTAACAAATAAAAACAACTTTTGTTGTTACACCAAAAAACATTTCGCACATTCCTGGTAATGCTGATGACGACAATGGCCACAAAATTCCACTTTTATACAAATATAACACAACAGCAATTGAGTTTCTAAAGAAACTGATTTACTAAAGGTGATTGGTTGCCTGACGAGTTGCGGTTGGTTGGTCGGCAATATGAACTGAAAACAAAAGCAAAATTCAAGTTAAAAAAGCATTTAAGAAAAAATTCATAAAACTTGTGGAATTTTAAGCAGCTTATCATTGTTAGACAAAGATTATAACGAAAACGAATAATGACTAAATATTTTCGATGAAAAAATGTTAAATATTCAAAAAAAAAATGTATTTAATAAAAAGAAACACCAACAAAGAGAATTAAATTTTGTAATAAAAAGGCTTTAGAATTAACTTTACCTTTAAAAATCTGTTAAATTTTCTTTAAAGTTTTTTTTTCAACTTCTCTTTAGTTAAAAGAAATAGCTTGTTCTGTTTTCTTTTTATAAAAAGTAACTGTTTGAATAGGGAGAGAACAAAAAAGAATGACCTTAATTAATTTTCTAAATCTCATACTAAATGTAGTGTAATCCAAGCCGCAAATACCATGACAGCAGTCATTACTTTTCTTTTTGATGCATGCAGCAGCAAGAGCTGGCAAAATAATTATAAAAACTGTATTTACAACATTTTAAATACATATTCAGTGCAACATTCATAGAACAGCTGATGCTAACGCTACTTATACAACATACTTTCTCTATATTATGTGAATTGTGGATTCTTGTTAAGAGTTGATTTTAAGATAGACAGATAAACATTTATACTTGAATATATAAGAGTTGGTATCATCAGTAATGCAACCTCAGCACAGTGGATTTCAATATGATTTAAATAACATTGAACTTATTATTCTTAAAACCATTTTTATCGGAAAAAGTTTATGCTTCAAAATGTTAGCTCTTTTTTAAATTACAGCGTGTGTTTTAAGGCATTTAGCCGACTTTGGGATATATAACTGATTAAAGGTTTTCCATAGATCTCTTATCTATCCAAGTTTTTTTAAATCACATAAATATTCCTTAAATTTTAGCAGTTTTAGCTAAATTTCCAAAACTACATATAATAAATATTAATCATACGCCCCCATAAGAAAAAGTTAATATTTATTAATAACTCGAATATAAAACAGAATTATTCTAGAATTTAAATTAGATAATTTAATAAAATGTTTTGCAGTAGCATTAACTGTCAGCTAAAAAGTTTAAATCATTTTATAACCACTGTTCCCCGTACTTAAATCTTTACAGGTAATCAGGTACTCATATTGTTCTACAAGATTTCTTTTAAGTTAAATATATATTTATATTTGTAAGAGAAAACTGTTGAAAAACACATATACACACATACTTATACGCACTTATTTAAACACTCATCTTACAACAAAACTTTGAAACTTTAACTGCACTGTTGCAATTGTTTTGAAACAGGGAATACCTCCTCAACTAAGAAAGACCATAATTAGAGTGTGTTTATATGTATGTGTATAAATTCATGCTAAAAACAAGATAGAAAATTATAGTATTAAACCTTCAACAATAATAACAGAAATAGCAACAACAACAAAAACGATTGTTTCTTGCTTATTAGACCACAGAAACCATACTAAAGCATTACAATCATTTATACCAAGAAATGTGTATGTATGCAACTGTATTAGTTTAATGTAGCTGACATAGGTAAGAGAATGTCTTTATATGTGTGTGTAAGTGTAGTTGAGGATTAAAAACGGTAACTGCCACATGCAATTAACTTGAAGACACTCATACCGATTACGTTTTCTATGTATGTGTTTTTCACAATTTTTTTTTTCTCTCTCTCTATTATGTTTTCTACAAAAACCAACAAAAGGTATAGGATTTACAAAATACACATATCAATAAATTCCTCTTACTACTTTACTCTTTCTCAAGTAAATGTGTTTCTGAAAATAGTTATACATTCAAAATACCTTCATAGAGCATGTTATCTTGTGGCGTTTTTAGAAATAGAAAACCAGTTATAAATTCTTTGAGAAAAGGTGCAATCAAGGGTCATGAATGCATGATTTGCAAAATTGGTTTAGACTTTAAGAAGAACAAAAAAATGTAAAGTTTTTTAAGAATTATTTAAGGCTGTTTAACATATTTTCAAATGCAGATTTTGAAATTTCCAATGACATTTTCTACAAAAACAAATAAAATTTCCTACTAAACTTTCTATTAAATCTTCATCAACCTATACTCCAGCAGGAGCTCATTATATAATTAAATCTTCAGCTAATAGAACTTTTTACATTTCGCACAAACTTCCCTTGTTTTCAAGCAAACTAAGAAATTCTGTTTTTCGTATGGGTGGCGTATGATTAATATTCATTATGAGCAATTTTAGAAAATTTGCCAGAACTCTTAGTTAGTTAGTTAGTTAGTTAGTTTGAAAGGAGGATGTATATACATCAAATCCGAAGAAATACACCTAGGCCTCTATCGGGCCTGTTGTGCGCTCCTTAACCAGTGCCTCAGGTGGGAATCGAACCCACCACCTCCGGTCTACCAGTCTAGAACACTAACCACTAACCTACCGGAGGCCAGAACTCTTAAAGTTAAAGGAATTTTTCAGCAATTTAAAAAGCTTCTATAATACTACAAATATATTGAATTATTTGAAAGACAGATTCTCATTTATATATTTATAAATCAGTTATAAATTCAACGAAAATGCAAAGTTCAAGTGAATGATATAACAACGAATAAATGGGAAGCATATTTCAATATTTGATGGAAAACAAACCTCATTTATAAGATTTTTCTACAATTTATACAGTTATCTTGACAAAAAAAAAGTGAAGCAAACTAAATAATTATGTTTTTCTTATAGAAGGCGTATGATTAATATTTATTATTAGCAATTTTAGAAAATTAGCCAGAACTCTCAAAGTTTTAGGAATTTTTCAGCAAAATAAAAAGTTTCTAAAAGACTACAAATATATTTATGAAAATCATTTGAAACAAAGATTCTTATTTTTAAACTTGATGCAAAAAAAATCAAGGAAAATGCATAGTTCATGTAAATAATACCTATAGCAACAAATAAATGGAAAGAATATTTCAATAGTTTTGAAAAAATGATTAAGTTTCAAAACACTTTTGTGAAACAAACAATGATTAGTATTTGTTATGAGTAATTTTAGAAAATTAGCCATAACTCTCAAAGTTCTAGAAATGTTTCATTAAATAGTTTCTGAAAGAATGCAAATATACATATTTATGGAAATTATTTGAAAGAAAGAGTTTCATTTCAAGTTTATAAAAAAAAAAATATACCACCCATCTGTCCGTCCGTCCGTCTGTCTGTCTGTCTGTCTGTCTGTCTGTCTGTCTGTCCGTCTATCTGTTGAAATCACGATATGTATTAAACAGAAGGAGCTGAAATTTTGCATAAATATTCCTTATTGATAAGGTTTGCTTGGTATTAAAAATGGACAAAATCGGTCCATGTTCTCGCAAAGCCTCCATACAAGTGGCCCCCCGGAAAACAGTTTTAACAGTCTTAACTGTTTTAAAAATACCAGTATAACGAGGAAATTATACATAAATAAGTCTTATGTCAACGCAAATCTCTTAATCATATTTTAAGAGAATCGGTGCATATAGGGCCCTCTTCAGAAAATGACTTTAACGTTCATTACTGGCTCAGAAATGCGAGTACAGTGATGAAATTCGATATAAACAAGTTTTGTATGAGTTAAAATCTCTCTATTAAATGTGGATCGGTCCATTATTGACCCTACCCCCCATATAAGGTCCCCTTCAGAAATTTACTTTAACACTTATTACTGCCTCAGAAATGAGACCACAACGATGAAAGTCGGCATAAACAAGTTTTGTATGATAATACCATAATCTCTCTACTAACTTCTGTGAGGATAGGTCCATTATTGACCCTACCCCCCCAGAAATTTACTTTAACACTTATTACTGGCACAGAAATGAGACTACAGCAATGAAATTTGGCATAAACAAGTTTTATATGGGCCAAAATCTCTATTCCAACTTTTGTGAGGGTCGGTCTATATTTGACCCTATCACCTTTACAAATTCCACTTCAGAAAATAACTTTAATTACTAGCTAGTACATCGATGCAATTTATTAAGTCATTAGCCGACAGAGAGCCGAAGCATTTATCTCGTCGGATCGTAATCAGTAGTTAGCCGATTGAGAGCCAAAGCATTTATCTCATCGGATTGTATAATATTCGTATTATTAAGTCATTAGCCGACCGAGAGCCGAAGCATTTATCTCGTCGGATCGTAATCAGTAGTTAACCGATTGAGAGCCGAAGCATTTATCTCGTCTGATCGAAATCAGTAGTTAGCCGATTGAGAGCCGAAGCATTTATCTCATCCGATTGTATAATATTCGTATAATTAAGTCATTAGCCGACCCAGAGCCGAAGCATTTATCTCGTCGGATCGTAATCAGTAGTTAGCCGATTGAGAGCCAACGCATTTATCTCATCGGATTTCATAATTAACCGACCGAGAGCCAGAGCAGTTATTTCGACCGATTGTATTTCCCAGCTACTCATAGTTATATCTACCCGACGAGATCGCCTCCATAACCGAAGTATTGATTTCGGCCTGTCCGTGAAGAATTGTATCAGACCCATTCATTCCCGAAGATACTAGGCAGCTCTGTGGTATATCAAACCTCAAAGGAAGCAGACCTTTGAAGAACCTGGACAGACTAGGCATACCCCGGATGGAAACAAAACTGCATCATAAATGGCAAGTTTTGTAAGAACCAAAATCTTTCTACCAAATTTTCTGAGAATCGGTCAATAATTAACTTCTTTCGATAATAACAAAAGCATCGATTCATAAATTCAATGTTTATTTATAAGGAAGCAATTCTTTTCGGCAATGATTTGATGTTGGGTATATAAGATTCGGCTTAGTCGAATATAACAATTTTTACTTGTTATATTTTTCTTATGGGAGGCGTATGATTAATATTTATTATGAGTATTTATAGAAAATTTTATAAACTGTAAAAACTTTACAACTTTACTATGGGAGAAAATGGATATCATAATTTCGAGTTGTTGTGTTTATTTAGTATTTCTCCTTTTAATGCAAAATTTATAAAAAATATATAAATTTATACTAATTGGACCCCTTTCAAGGTAATTTTGCTACTTGTATCCTGTTGCTTTATACTTCAACTACACGCATCAAATGCATTTTATATAATATTCATTTATTTTAGCTTCTTTTGATTTACTTTAATTAGAATACATAATAGAAACCACTAAAACCAAAAATGTAGCTATACTACAGACACATACATACATATAAATATTTCAGTATGAATGTATTTTTATTGAAAACTCGATGACAAAAACTTTAAAACGAAACCCCCCTATACAGTAACAAACTAGTTAGAAATTATAGTCGGGTAAGGCCGACCATATATAAAACTACACCATTTATAAAAATAAAATGTGATTTAGTTTTCATAATAAAGCATTTAAGTTGAATTGTAGCTTGAGTCAAATATACCTAAGCCATTTATTGTTGGCTATATTGGCTAATTGGACCACGGTCTGCTCTAGACTTGGAGTACAAAGTGCTTTTGTACAAAACAGTTATAAAACCGATATGGCTATACGGCATTCAACTGTGGGGAACAGCCTCCTCATCTAATGTTGAAAAATTACAAAGAAAGCAGTCAGCACTGTTAAGGTCAATAACAGGTGCCCCGTGGTACATTCGCAATAGTAATATTCATAGGGATCTCAATGTCCCCATAATACGCGAGGAGATCAAACTCTCTTGTTTAACCTACCTGTCGAAACTAATGGATCACCCAAAACCCCTTGCCAGGGAGTTGCTGTCATTTGAGGGTCATAGACGACTGAGAAGAACGGAAACATTGGATTTTGCCAGATAATCAAATTATCGAGAACTTTTGTTGAAATTGCAGTGGCAATAACGACGTTAGTTATAGTTTAGGTTAAGATTTCAATACTTATTGTAAATTTCTATGTAAGAAAGATTCAATAAATAATAACTAAAATGAAAAAAAAAAAAAAAAAATTATTGTTGAATAAAATTGTGGACATTTAAGTCATATTTTGAAGGGCGCTTTGTATATAGGGGCTAGAGTCAAATGAGGCCCTATCATTATAAAAATTATCAGGGTCAGGCTAGTATAGAACTTGCAGCAGCTTTTCGTCGAGGTACGAGTATATTAAACATAATTATGAACTTAAAAGCCTTATTTGGGGGGTTTAGTTGTATGGGGACTACCTGGAATAATGTACCGAAGTTAACCATTTTTAATACGCTTCGTCTCTGATACCATAGATGATCATGTACCAAATTTAATTTAATTATCTTCAAAATTGCGACATGTAGTTTGATTACAAGGTTTACAAGCCCTATTCGGGGGTGCATTTGTGTGGGGGCTAGATGAAATAATAGACCGATGTTAGCTATTTACAATAGGCTTCGTCTATGGTACAATAGAAGATCATGTACCAAATTTCATTGAATTATCTTGCGATCTGTAGTTTGATTACAAGGTTTACATGGACGGATGGACGGACAGACAGACAGACAGACAGACAGACAGACAGACAGACAGACAGACAGACAGACAGATAGACAGACAGACAGACAGACAGACAGACAGACAAACAGACAGACAGACGAACCTACATAGTTTGATTACCAGGATGGACGGACAGACAGACAGACAGGCAAACGGACAGACAGACAGGCAAGCGGACAGACAGACGGACGGACAGCTAAATCGACTCAGAAAATTATTCTAAGCAGATTGGTATACTTTCAGGTATAGGACCAATATTATTGTGCGTTACAAACATCAGCACAAACCCAATATATGTACCCTCCCCACTAAAGTAGCAAATGCTAGCAAATTCCAAAAAAATTTAACTCTAGCTAAGTGAAAGTTTTCTACTAAAAACTTGCATAAAGACTAGGAAAGAAAAGAAAATTAAAAAAACTTTACATTTATAAACAACAGCAAGAGTATTTTTAGAACGCACGTCCTTAGGAAACAGGAAATGTCTGACATCAATTTCAATATATCTACACATACACATTCCTAAGAAAAATTTTATTAATACTAAAACATACTCCATACATCATACACATGTATTGTAATTTTTCCCTGGTTTAACTTAAAATTGCCATCACTAATGAATATTCTTGTTTTCATCTAATTTTCTAGTGGCACCCCAACGTCCTCGTTTAGAATATGAAGGCGCTCATGTACCACCCGGTCATAATATCACTGTGGACTCTGGCTCTTTGGCTACGGTGAAATGTGTCTCCCACTATGGTAATCCACCTGCCACACTTAAGTGGTTTCTGGGTAAGTTACTTTTATATGTATGTTTGGTTTGTTCTCATTTAGTTTTGTCTTTAAGTTTATTCTTTTTTTTTTTTTTTGCTGTATCTCTTGTCTTTCTTTAGTTTTAGTTTTCTTCCTGGAAATGTGCATTCAAGTAGTATGATTATCTGTAATTGTTTTTATGTTAAGACATGTAATTTTACCTGCTCTAAAAAGTTGTTTAAAAGCTATTTTAAAAAATCTAGCAAAATATACCCTACAGTAGGAAATAATGTTAAGGCAGAAAAATATTTTTCTTATTTAAAGCAAATTTTGTCAATTTAGGTAAAACCTAATAAAGTGTTTTCTTAATAATTTACTTCACAAATTTATACTGTAAAGAAATCCTTTTAATTTATTAAAAAATTGTCCTAACTTTAGAAGTTATTTACATTTTTCCAAAAATACTCATAATTAATATCAATCATACGCCCTGTGTTAAAAAAAGTTTAATTTTGAAAAATTTCCTAGAAACATTTAAAATTTTTTATAATTTTGAATAGAAATAGCTTAACTAATACTATAATTTCCTAATATAATCTTCTTTTAATCCAAATCATTAAAAATAACTTCTTAATATTCACATTCATATAACCATCATTAAAAAAAGCCTATTATTACCTTTAATAGCCTATTAATTTCTGCCCCGGTCATTCAATTAACTTTAACATCCTTTAGCCACTAAATAGCTCTATCTGTAATTCGCCTAAAACTCTATTTTATTTCACTCTCTACTTCCTGGCCAACAATTCCAACAATTTAAATTGCATTTTTTTACTCTATTACCCTTATAAGACAACAATGTACTTCATTTATTACATTATATTATTAAAATTGCCCTTCTTATACTCTACTTTAAACTCTAAAGCAAGTTATTGTCTTTTTTTTTATATATTCTACCTCTACTTATAGGTGACCAAGAAATTGAAGCCATTCATCCGCAAACAAATGCCACCGAACCAGATAATCCACGTACTTGGTCGGCCACCTCAGTGGTACAATTGACAGCAATGCGTGAGAGACATGGTGATATCTTACGCTGTTTGGCTTATCATGAATCGTATACGGCGAAAACGGTACCAGTGGAAGCCAGATTAGATGTTAAATGTAAGAAAAAAGTTTAATTTTTTTCACATAACGGAAAATGTGTTGTATACTTTCCTTAAGCAGGAAGAGCTTAGTTTAAATTTGAAAGGAATATTAAGTTTTAAGGAATTTAAAATAAATTGGATTTTTCTTTTGTAATGGAATATTTAAATACAGTGGTGGGGGCATTAAATATTGAGAATTTATAAAATTTGTCCCAAAACCTATTTTTCTGTAGAAACCAACGTACAAAACATGTTCTTCTATGGAAATTTTTTACAAATATATTTCTCTATAACAAAATTTTTCGCAATCACATTTTCAATACATAGAAAAATATGTCCCAATTATATTTTTCAATACATAAACGTGTCCCAACTGTATTTTCTATACAAAAAATTGTTCCAATCACATTTTTTTTTATCAAAAAAAATTTGTCCCAAACACCTTTTTTTATAGAAAATGTTCTATCAATCACATTTTTCTATAAAAAACTTGTCCCAATCACATTTTTCTATATAAAAATTTGATTCAATCATATTTTTCTATAGAAAAATTTGTCTCAATCATTTTTTTATATGGAAAATTTTCTTCCAATCATATTTTTCTTCAGAAAAATTTGCCCCAATCACATTTTTCTAAAGAAAATTTTCTCCCGATCACATTTTTCTATAGAAAATTTTATCCCAAACATATTTTTCTATAGAAAAATTTGTCCCAATCATGTTTTTCTATAGAAAATTTTCTCCCGATCACATTTTTCTATAGAAAATTTTCTCCCAGTCACATTTTTCTATAGAAAAATTTGTCCCATTCACATTTTTCTGTAGAAAACTTGGTCCCATTCACATTTTTCTATAGAAAACTTGGTCCCATTCACATTTTTCTATAGAAAACTTGGTCCCATTCACATTTTTCTATAGAAAAATTTGTCCCATTCACACTTTTCTATAGAAAAATTTGTCGCATTCACTATTTTCTATAGAAAAATTTGTCCCATTCACACTTTTCTATAGAAAAATTTGTCGCATTCACTATTTTCTATAGAAAAATTTGTCCAATTCATATGTTTCTATCGAAAAATTGTACCAATCATATTTTTCTCCAGTAAAATATGTCCAAAAATTTGTCCCAATCATATTTTTCTATAGAAAAATTTGTTCCAATAAAATTTTTCTATAAAAAAATTCTCCAAATCACATTTTTATAGAAAAATTTGTCCCATTCACAGTTTCCTATAGAAAACTTGGTCCCATTCACATACTTCTATGGAAAAATTGGTCCCGTTCACATTTTTCTATAGAAAAATTTGTCCCATTCACATTTTTCTATAGAAAACTTGGTCCCATTCACATTTTTCTATAGAGAAATTGGTCCCGTTCACATTTTTCTATAGAAAAATTTGTCCCAATCACATTTTTCTATAGAAAACTTGGTCCCATTCACATTTTTCTATAGAGAAATTTGTCCCATTCACATTTTTCTATAGAAAAATTTGTCCCATTCACATTTTTCTATAGAAAAATTTGTCCCATTCACATTTTTCTATAGAAAAATTTGTCCCATCCACATTTTTCTATAGAAAAATTTGTCCCATTCATACTTTTCTATAGAAAATTTGTCCCATTCACATTTTTCTATAGAGAAATTTGTCCCATTCACATTTTTGTATAGAAAAATTTGTCCCATTCACATTTTTCTATAGAAAAATTTGTCCCATTCACATTTTTCTATAGAAAAATTTGTCCCATTCACATTTTTCTATAGAAAAATTTGTCCCATTCACATTTTTCTATAGAAAATTTGTCCCATTCATACTTTTCTATAGAAAATTTGTCCCATTTACATTTTTCTATAGAAAAATTTGTCCCATTCACATTTTTCTATAGAAAAATTTGTCCCATTAAAAATTTTCTATTTTCGCTGTATCACAATTTTCTAAAGAAAATTTTGTCACAATCAAATTTTTCTACAGAAATTTTTTTCCCAAATAAACACTTTTGCAGACAAATTTGTCCCAAAAAAAGCATTTATCATATTTTCTTCTCCACTCGCCCTCGTATTCGTTAGTTGGCATTTAACAATCCAAGACTAATTTAGCAAATTTGATTACCTTTATTTCCTTCTCACTCAATCTAAGGCATTCAAATGCAAATTAAATTTAATATTTATAACAAAAAGGTAAAAAATGGCAAACAAACCCATCCTGTGAGAATAAAAAAAAATTATAAATTTATTCCAATGAAAATTTTTTTTAACAAACAACAGACCAATTGTCTATCTTAATATTTGACTGACTGAGCTTTACACATACAGATTCATTTGCAAACTAATATATAACTCCTTCCTCGTTGAGCCAACGAACGAAAAAAATCAATTTGGCAACAAGTCAAAATTTTACTAAAATCCTTTACAACTGACTTTAATCTAAATAGAACAGGAAAGCCAGGGGAAAATAGTGGAAGGAGTAAAAAAAAGGAAGTTAAAATCCAGACAAGACCATCCTAAAAAATTTATATAGTTGTTTTCTGTTTTGGCTGTTGCCAGTTTTGTGCTAAATCAATTAAATTAACTGCAATTTTCCTTCAATATGCTTTTAAAACTTGCAACAAAACACACATACATATAAAATCATTCATCTTCATCTTTTTCCGTCTTGTTTTACCCTTACTCTTTACACTGTGTTGTGTAATGCAGACGCACCAACAATACGTCTAATTGGCTCACCGGAAATCGACTTGGAAGAGGATAAAGATGCACTGATATTACGCTGTGTAGCGGATGCCAATCCACCAGCGAGTATTGTCTGGCGTCGTGCAGGACGTTCAGAAATTGCCAGTCTACAGGTAAGTTTAACAAAACAACAACTACAATAATCTTGCTAACAGTGTAACAGGATTTATTTATAAAAATCCTTGTTTTTTTTTTTTTTTTGTTTCTTGTAACTTTGCCAAACTAAAGTCTTTTTTTTTTGTTCATTTAACAACAAACTTTGATGCTGATTTTTTTATTTAAATTTGCTCAATATGAGTTGAGTTTTTTTATACTTTGTTCCTGTTTTTTAATCATATTTTATTGTCTTGTGCGTTTTTTTTTCTCTAGGAAACTCTGCAATTACGCCCTGTTGGCCGACGTGATGCTGGTCTTTATACCTGTCAAGCTCAGAACTCTGTAGGCACTTCGGAGCAACTATCAGTGCAATTGGATGTTAAATGTAAGTTAATTTGTGTGAGTGTGTTTTTTTCTACAGGAAACATATTCGACCAGTCATTTGGTCACCCGCCCGAAAGAAAATTTCTTTAGAAAAATTGTCACAGACATATATTTCTATACAAAACATTTGTTACAAACTTATTTTTCTATAGAAAATTTTCTGAAAAATATATTTTCCTATAGAGAAATTTCTCCCAAACCTATTTTTCTAGTAAAAAAATGTCTCCCAAATACATTCTTCTATAGAAAAATTTGTCCCAAACACATGTTTCTATAGAAAAATTTGTCCCAAATATATTTTTCTATAGAAAAATTTGTCCCAAATATTTTTTTCTATAGAAAAATTTGTCCCAAATATTTTTTTCTATAGAAAAATTTGTCCCAAAAATATTTTTCTATAGAAAAATTTATCCCAAACATATGTTTCTATAGAAAACTTTGTCCCCAAACCTATTTTTCTATAGAAAAATTTGTCCCAAACCTATTTTTCTATAGAAAAATTTGTCCCAAACATATTTTTCTATAAAAAATTTGTCCCAAACCTATTTTTCTATGGAAAAATTTGTTCCAAACACATTTTTCTATGGATGAATTCAACGCAAGCATATTTTTCTGTAGAAAAATGTATCCCAAACATATTTTTCTATAGAAAAATTTGTTCCAAAAATATTTTTCTATAGAAAAATTTGTCCCAAAAATATTTTTCTATAGAAAACGTTGTCCCAAAAATATTTTTCTATAGAAAAATTTATCCCTAACATATTTTTCTATAGAAAACTTTGTCCCAAACATATTTTTCTATAGAAAAATTTGTCCCAAACATATTTTTCTATAGAAAAATGTGTCCCAAATATTTTTTCTATAAAAGAATTTCTCCAAAACATATTTTTCTATAGAAAACTTTGTCCCAAGTATATATTTCTTTAGAAGAATTTCTCCCAAATATTTTTTTTTCTATAAAAAATATTTCTCCCAAACATATTTTTCTATAAAAAAATTTGTCCCAAACATATTTGTCTATAGAAAACTTTGTTCCAAACATATTTTTCTATAGAAAAATTTGTTCCAAACATATTTTTCTTAGAAAAATTTGTTCCAAACATAATTTTCTATAGAAAAATGTGCCCTAAACATATTTTTCTATAGAAAAATTTGTCCCAAACCTATTTTGCTATAGAAAAATTTGCCCCAAACATATTTTTCTATAGAAAAATTTGTCCCAAACATATTTTGCTATAGAAAAATGTGTCTCAATCATATTTTTCTATAGAAAATTTTATCCCAAACATGTTTTTCTATAGAAAAATTTCTCCCAAACATGCTTATCTATAGAAAATTTTCTCCAGAAAAACTTTTCTATAGAAAAATGTCTTCTAAAGCCCTCATTACTCTTTACAGATCCCCCCAAAATTCTCTCGGCTGGTCCCGATCGTCTAACCACGGCTCCACTTTTTAGTCCAGCGGCATTTGAGTGTGTAGCCGATGGCAATCCTATGCCTTCCTTCAAATGGGTGCAACGGTAAGTTTATTGCTTTAAAGAAAACTTCTTAATATACCATCATATTTATTTTAGTGAAAAATAGTTTATTTTTTTTTTAAACAAAAAATATTATGAAATGTTCGTTTTTTTTTTTTGCCACTTACTAACTTCATAAATAACGTACGTGATCGCCTTTGGCCACCAACATAAAGACATCGAAATAACAATAACAAATCGAGGAAAAAAAGGGAACCGGGAAAAAAACTAAATTCTTTTATCGAGCGTGTAGATTATGGCGTTTCCATTAAAAGTTTGTTTGTGTTATTTCAGCGAATTTTTTTTTTAAACAAAACTTTGTTATTTTACATTTGTAGATTGAAAACATGTTTTTTTTTTTTTGTGAGAAAAAGTAATAGTAATATTAAGGAAGACTATTTTAAAGGGAAATTGTGGTGACTATTTAAGGGAGGAACAAGAGTGCGATAGTTTAATAACAATTTGCAGATTAAGTTAAAAATTACAAAAAATATATATTTAACAATATGTTTTGTTGTGTAAAATCGATATTTCGGAGTTTATAACTTAAGCAACAAATAGTTTACAACTAATCTTTGTATTGAGTTAAGTAACTTGATTTGTTGACTATAAAACTAAGTTTTAATTATTTAAATATAAGATTTTCTGTGGAAGTTATAAAGATTTTTCCAAAAGTGGTCACAATTAATATTACTCATACGCTCCCTATTACTTAAACTTTAAATGTTCGATTTGCCTAATTTGCCAACTAAAAACTTAAGTTATTCTTAAAGATATTGCTATTAGATCTATTGCTTATTATAATTGTATTATCTGTTGATTCTTTTGTTAAGTAACTTTGAATTATATCTGATTTTAGTCCTTTACAAATTCCCAAGTATGTGGATGTGTGAGAAATTACAGCTAAATATTTGTTATTATTTAATATTTTTCTATTTCTAATTAAAAATATATTAATATTTTCTACAAATTACCACCTAAAGAAATGTTTTCTTGAAAAGCTATTTGTGTATTTTAAATTTTTAAGACTTAATTCTTAAAAATCTTTATATGGCAAATTGGAATTTACACATGTCTTATTACTTCAAAGATTTTCTAAGAAATTCTTCTTTTTTCCAGTTACCAAGTAATAATATTTCTAAAGCACAAATTGTATTGTTTTCTTATAAATCTTACAAATTATAACAATTCTATTTTGAGATATTTCATTTTTGCATTTCTAATTAGTTAGTCCTTAAACTCAAAAAAAAAAAAAAATTTAAAGGTAAAGATTTTTTGCATTTTGCAAAAGGAAAATGAAGACAAAAAAAGAAACTACCATCACTCATACTTATACAAACACTGTTACAGCTGTGTATGTTGGTAAAAGCTTACAAGCAGGATTATCCTTTAGATTTCCTTTTTTTTTAATATACTACCTACATACTTTACAATATTGAAAATATCTACATGTGTTTGTTGAATACTTTGTTAGTGTATGTAGGTATGGCTTTGCTGTTGATGTCTGTATATTAAAAAATATCCGGCTTAAGTCTATTTCTTAAAGGACTTTGTGGTTATAGTTATGAAGGTGTATGAGTAACGACATCATTTGTTATTTTTCTTTTTTTTTTTGGAATTTCACAGTAACACGACAATGTTACAGTTAATTAATATGCAAAGCTATGTTAGTTAATACTTTAACTAGTATTATTTTTGCACACACACACACACTTACACATACACATCTATGCAACACGTTTAAATGTTGGGATTTATTTGCTTTATAAATCTAGGAAATAATTATAAGTAGAGAAAATATTTTTTCTTTGAAAATTTTATTCAATGAATTTTTCTTTTTCTAATATTTTAAATTGTTAACGAATACTCTATTCTGTTGGCTTTCAAATGTAATTTAAATTATTAAACTATGTTGTTAACTTTTAAAGTTATGAACAATTTTGTAAAATAACTTTTAATTAATATTAATCATACGTCACCAGGTTAAGAAAAACTAAAAGGCCAAAACTTGCCCCAATCACTTTAACTATATATAAATTTTATTAAAACTTTCTTTCTTTGCCAATTTAACTATAAATTTTTCACAGAGAAATTTTTCTATAGAAAAACTTTTATAGAGAAAAATGTTCAAATGTTTTGGTAGAGAAATTTTTTACCAAAAAACAAATTTTCTGCTTAATATTTTTCAATAGAAAAATAGGCCTCAATGACATTTTCTATGACATTTTTCTATAGAAAATATGTGTCCAAAGACATTTTCTCTAGAAAAACTTGTCTCAATTAAATTTTTTTCTATAGAAAAGTTATCCCAATCACATATTCCTATAGAAAAATTTGGCCCAATTACGTTTTTCTATAGAAAAAATTGTCCCAATCTATTAAAAGATGTGTCCCAATAAATTTTTTCTTTAAAAAAATTTGTTCTAATAAAATTTTTCTATAGAAAAAATTGTCCAAATTAGGGTTTTCTATAGAAAAATTAGTCCCAATCATATTTTTCAATAGAAAAATTAGTCCCAATCATATTTTTCTATAGAAAAATTAGTCCCAACCACATATCTTTTTAGAGAAAATCATCCCAATCACATTTTTCAATAGAAAAAACTGTCCCAAATCACATTTTTCTATAGAAAAATCTTCCCAAATCACATTTTTCTATAGAAAAATCTATCGCAATCACATTTTTCTATAGAAAAATTAGTCCCAATCATATTTTTCTATAGAAAAATTAGTCCCAATCATATTTTTCTATAGAAAATTAGTCCCAACCACATATCTTTTTAGAGAAAATCATCCCAATCACATTTTTCAATAGAAAAAACTGTCCCAAATCACATTTTTCTATAGAAAAATCTTCCCAAATCACATTTTTCTATAGAAAAATCTTCCTAAATCACATTTTTCTATAGAAAAATCTGTCGCAATCACTTTTTTCTATAAAAAAAAACTTGTTTTTCTGTGATTCTGTAGAAATGTTATTGTTCCAGTCACAATTTTCTACAACAAATTTGTCCCAATAACGATTTTCTTTAACAAAGTTGACTCAAAAAATTGTCCCAAACAAAATTCACATTTTAAAATCTTCACTAATTTCACAGTCAATTTTACCCAATCACCTTTTTTATAGAAAAACTTGTCTCAAAACTTATTTTTCTCTATAGAAAATTGCTCTCAATTCTTACTTTTCATAGAAATGGTTCTAATATTAGTAAATTTGTTAAAAGTCCTTTTAATTATTTACTTTACTTTAATCACGTCTGTCTCTCTCTACATACATATGTACATAGGTGTTACTATTTCCCTTTTCCTATACTGTAAGTCGCTGCCAGCAACAATCATTAACTTGTTGTTAAAGATTTTTTTCGCTCTTAACATATTTATTATTTATTATTACTTTTTTTTTGTTTTTGTAATATAAATATTTGTTTTATATTTAGGGATTTCATTTACTACAGACACACAACCAAAAGCGAAAATATTTTTGGTGTCGATTTTTTCATTAAAACTCTTAGCATACAAATAAACATTGAAAAGAATCTAACTTGTTTTCCAATTTTCGGGGCCCAAAACTTGCCTGAGAAAATATTAAGCAGCAAAAGTTAAATAAGCTAACAAAATAAAAGAAACACATTATAATTCCAAAAGCATATGTAAGTGTTGACTTAATGAAGTACGTGTTTATCAAGAAATTAAATGCCAATTTCTTTTTAACTTTGGATGGTTTATGCCTTTTGCATTAAATCAGTCCCAACAAATAGTTGGGGAATTAACAGGAAATTCCATAGAGTACTTTTAGTTGGTGAAATATAAGTATTGTAGGATTTTCCCAAAACGTAAATGTTTGGGTGTGTCTGTGCCGAGAGTGTTGGAATGTACTTGAAATCATTTATAATAAATTAACAACATGTTGATAATAATGTTTATAAATTAAGGAGATGAGAAAAAAAGAACATTTTGAAAGTGTGATAGTTCAAGCAGGCATAAAAATAGGGTCAATTTGGGGTAAGTTTTAATGGCAAGCCTAAAAAATACGTTAAATAAAGCAAATGTAGGGAATTTGTAAAATGGCTTAAATATTTTGTTTACATTAAGGAATACCTATTAAATTATTTCAGAATATTTATTAATATTATTCTAGTTCAGTTCTAGTTCAGTTCTAGTTCAGTTCTAGTTCAATTCTAGTTAGTTCAGTTCTAGTTCAGTTCTAGTTCAGTTCTAGTTCAGTTCTAGTTCAGTTCTAGTTCAGTTCTAGTTCAGTTCTAGTTCAGTTCTAGTTCAGTTCTAGTTCAGTTCTAGTTCAGTTCTAGTTCAGTTCTAGTTCAGTTCTAGTTCAGTTCTAGTTCAGTTCTAGTTCAGTTCTAGTTCAGTTCTAGTTCAGTTCTAGTTCAGTTCTAGTTCAGTTCTAGTTCAGTTCTAGTTCAGTTCTAGTTCAGTTCTAGTTCAGTTCTAGTTCAGTTCTAGTTCAGTTCTAGTTCAGTTCTAGTTCAGTTCTAGTTCAGTTCTAGTTCAGTTCTAGTTCAGTTCTAGTTCAGTTCTAGTTCAGTTCTAGTTCAGTTCTAGTTCAGTTCTAGTTCAGTTCTAGTTCAGTTCTAGTTCAGTTCTAGTTCAGTTCTAGTTCAGTTCTAGTTCAGTTCTAGTTCAGTTCTAGTTCAGTTCTAGTTCAGTTCTAGTTCAGTTCTAGTTCAGTTCTAGTTCAGTTCTAGTTCAGTTCTAGTTCAGTTCTAGTTCAGTTCTAGTTCAGTTCTAGTTCAGTTCTAGTTCAGTTCTAGTTCAGTTCTAGTTCAGTTCTAGTTCAGTTCAGTTCAGTTCTAGTTCAGTTCTAGTTCAGTTCTAGTTCAGTTCTAGTTCAGTTCTAGTTCAGTTCTAGTTCAGTTCTAGTTCAGTTCTAGTTCAGTTCTAGTTCAGTTCTAGTTCAGTTCTAGTCAGTTCTAGTTCAGTTCTAGTTCAGTTCTAGTTCAGTTCTAGTTCAGTTCTAGTTCAGTTCTAGTTCAGTTCTAGTTCAGTTCTAGTTCAGTTCTAGTTCAGTTTAGAGTTCTAGTTCAGTTCTAGTTCAGTTCTAGTTCAGTTCTAGTTCAGTTCTAGTTCAGTTCTAGTTCAGTTCTAGTTCAGTTCTAGTTCAGTTCTAGTTCAGTTCTAGTCAGTTCTAGTTCAGTTCTAGTTCAGTTCTAGTTCAGTTCTAGTTCAGTTCTAGTTCAGTTCTAGTTCAGTTCTAGTTCAGTTCTAGTTCAGTTCTAGTTCAGTTCTGTTCAGTTCTAGTTCAGTTCTAGTTCAGTTCTAGTTCAGTTCTAGTTCAGTTCTAGTTCAGTTCTAGTTCAGTTCTAGTTCAGTTCTAGTTCAGTTCTAGTTCAGTTCTAGTTCAGTTCTAGTTCAGTTCTAGTTCAGTTCTAGTTCAGTTCTAGTTCAGTTCTAGTTCAGTTCTAGTTCAGTTCTAGTTCAGTTCTAGTTCAGTTCTAGTTCAGTTCTAGTTCAGTTCTAGTTCAGTTCTAGTTCAGTTCTAGTTCAGTTCTAGTTCAGTTCTAGTTCAGTTCTAGTTCAGTTCTAGTTCAGTTCTAGTTCAGTTCTAGTTCAGTTCTAGTTCAGTTCTAGTTCAGTTCTAGTTCAGTTCTAGTTCAGTTCTAGTTCAGTTCTAGTTCAGTTAGTTCAGTTCTAGTTCAGTTCTAGTTCAGTTCTAGTTCAGTTCTAGTTCAGTTCTAGTTCAGTTCTAGTTCAGTTCTAGTTCAGTTCTAGTTCAGTTCTAGTTCAGTTCTAGTTCAGTTCTAGTTCAGTTCTAGTTCAGTTCTAGTTCAGTTCTAGTTCAGTTCTAGTTCAGTTCTAGTTCAGTTCTAGTTCAGTTCTAGTTCAGTTCTAGTTCAGTTCTAGTTCAGTTCTAGTTCAGTTCTAGTTCAGTTCTAGTTCAGTTCTAGTTCAGTTCTAGTTCAGTTCTAGTTCAGTTCTAGTTCAGTTCTAGTTCATTCTAGTTCAGTTCTAGTTCAGTTTAGTTCAGTTCTAGTTCAGTTCTAGTTCAGTTCTAGTTCAGTTCTAGTTCAGTTCTAGTTCAGTTCTAGTTCAGTTCTAGTTCAGTTCTAGTTCAGTTCTAGTTCAGTTCTAGTTCAGTTCTAGTTCAGTTCTAGTTCAGTTCTAGTTCAGTTCTAGTTCAGTTTCTAGTTCAGTTCTAGTTCAGTTCTAGTTCAGTTCTAGTTCAGTTCTAGTTCAGTTCTAGTTCAGTTCTAGTTCAGTTCTAGTTCAGTTCTAGTTCAGTTCTAGTTCAGTTCTAGTTCAGTTCTAGTTCAGTTCTAGTTCAGTTCTAGTTCAGTTCTAGTTCAGTTCTAGTTCAGTTCTAGTTCAGTTCTAGTTCAGTTCTAGTTCAGTTCTAGTTCAGTTCTAGTTCAGTTCTAGTTCAGTTTAGTTCAGTTCTAGTTCAGTTCTAGTTCAGTTCTAGTTCAGTTCTAGTTCAGTTCTAGTTCAGTTCTAGTTCAGTTCTAGTCAGTTCTAGTTCAGTTCTCGTTCAGTTCTAGTTCAGTTCTAGTTCAGTTCTAGTTAGTTTAGTCAGTTCTAGTTCAGTTCTAGTTCAGTTCTAGTTCAGTTCTAGTTCAGGTTCTAGTTCAGTTCTAGTTCAGTTCTAGTTCAGTTGTAGTTCAGTTCTAGTCAGTTCTAGTCAGTTCTAGTTCAGTTCTAGTTCAGTTCTAGTTCAGTTCTAGTTCAGTTCTAGTTCAGTTCTAGTTCAGTTTTAGTTCAGTTCTAGTTCAGTTTCTAGTTCAGTTCTAGTTCAGTTCTAGTTCAGTTCTAGTTCAGTCTAGTCTAGTTCTCTAGTTCAGTTCTAGTTCAGTTCTAGTTCAGTTCTAGTTCAGTTACTAGTTCAGTTCTAGTTCAGTTCTAGTTCAGTTCTAGTTCAGTTCTAGTCAGTTCTAGTTCAGTCTAGTTCAGTTCTAGTTCAGTTCTAGTTCGTTCTAGCTCAGTTCTAGTTCAGTTCTAGTTCAGTTCTAGTTCAGTTCTAGTTCAGTTCTAGTCAGTTCTAGCTCAGTTCTATTTCAATTCTAGTTCAGTTCTAGTTCAGTTCTACTTCAGTTCTACTTCAGTTCCAGTTTAGTTCTAGTTCAGTTCTACTTCAGTTCCAGTTCAGTTCTAAATCTTATTTTCAATAGTATTAAAATTGTTGTAGATATTCTCCCATACTAAATGAAAAACATATTTTATTACAAACTTAGTAACTTAACTCATGTATATGAAAATATCAATACAATTCAATAACAACTCTTATCCCTAATGCTACTACAACTTGTTCTTACTCATCGCTAACAAATTTCATTTTATCAGTTACTACTTAAGTGCAACAAATTCATAATCTTATACAACCCAAAAATATTCTACAATACAGAGTACAGTTAAAGCGCAACAAAAAGGACGAAAAAAAACAGCAAAACAAAACTTATAGCCATTTTGAGAGCAATCTTTTCATTTATTTTCTTCAAACGAAATGTTCATAAACAGACGGGAGATAATAGTTTGGGAAGAAAAGCCCGAACTATTGATGTAAGAACTGATAATAGTTACATGTGCAAGGAGAAATAGTTTATATGTTAATAAGGATGTTACAAATTTCTGTTTGTTGTAGAAATCGGTAAGATATTTGGTCCCTTTTGAATGTTAAAAAATAAGGATATATGAGGAAATTAAGAAATATGTGTGTTGTTACTCAACATGACCCATTTTATATGAAAATTTCAGTGATACTTAAAATTCGGTTCAGTCCATAATAAAACCCTATCGGATTTATTCTCTTTATAAGTATATCTGCTCAAAAGTTTTGAGTCAAAACTCGAACATAACTTTTCCATAAAAGTAACAAATGGTTATAAGACGAAGTAAAATATATCAAAATTTACAGCACGTTTTGTTTTTACATACAAAACGTAGAATGTAGATAGAATGTATGTATTGCATTACATACCTAAAAGTATGTGTAAGTGTTTCATTTGTCTGTCTGTATCTGGGTTGCATAAATGTTAAAAATGTATTATTCTAAGGGGAATAGTTGTTTTCATGTAACACCATACATAATGCATATTAAATACAAGCATTTATATAAGAGGGGAGACAGCAGGACGCTTCTCAATCATATATGCGTTGTCTAACAACAAGGAAAACTTATTTGATGTAAGAAAAATTACAAATACATATGTATGTAACAAATAATTTTGAGTTAAAAACCCAGCAAGTAACAAAATTTGTCATCATCTTCCTCATAAAAATATATATTTCAAACAACTCAAAAATGTTTGCTGGGTATTGCAATATTTCCTTCTTTTTCACAATTTTAAATTAAGTAGAAATCAAACAATGTTTTAAGCTTCAGCACGTTAATATGATGTAAGAAATTCATGTTTCTTGTTCATTCTTCCCAAACATACAATCAACAACAACAACAATAGCACATAGCGACTGCATCCTGTTGCAAGATATTTGAGTAAATGTAGCAGTAAATGGTATATTTTGTATGCAGCTATTGTAAATGTGGGCCAATTTAAGTCATGTTTATGTTCAAAAATGAAAAGAGATAGCTAGAAAGAAAGAAATAAAGAATACAAACTTTGTATTATAGTCCTTCAACAATTCGTCTTATTATTATTTGTTACTTTTCACTCATCTTCTAACAACTTTTCACTTGTCATTGTTCAACAAACGTGAGCTGAAAATCAATAAAGCACAAAATTCTTAAAAATTCTTCAAAATTCTTCACACACTCATACATATAATACCAGCAGTAGTATTACCTATGTATGTGAATTTGCACTTTTTTTTTAAAACCAATATTTCAAGTTATTGTAAAAGATTGTGAATGAGGGTGTATGCAATTTAAAGTACTCTAGTTTCTATAAAAATGTGTAGTGTATTATTTAGTTTAGCTTATTAAATTACAGATTGTTACTTTGTTTCTTACGACTTGTTAAATTAAAGTTAATATTTTTTTCATTCGTTTTATTCTTGCAGCATTTCTCATGGCTCCAATACGTAGAACGTGGCAATGAGCCTCGTTTAGTGATTGACAATGTTACATATGATTATCAGGGTGAATATGAATGTCGTGCAACAAATTATATCAATGGTCAAGAGAGAGTGGCCATATCGGAACCGGTGTCGCTGCAAGTTGTGGGTGAGGTAAGAAAAATTTTTTTGTATTTTTAAAATTAAAAGAAAAATTGTGAATTCGCCTTTAAAGACTGAACTAGAACTGAACTAGAACTGAACTAGAACTGAACTACTGAACTAGAACTGAACTAGAACTAACTGAACTGAACTAGAACTGAACTAGAACTGAACTAGAACGGAACTAGAACTGAACTAGAACTGAACTAGAACTGAACTAGAACTGAACTAGAACTGAAACTAGAACTGAACTAGAACTGAACTAGAAACTGAACTAGAACTGCTAGAACTGAACTAGAACTGAACTAGAACTGAACTAGAACGAACTAAACTGAACTAGAACTGACTAGAACTGAACTAGAACGAACTAGAACTAACTAGAACTGAACTAGAACTGAACTAGAACTGAACTAGAACTGAACTAGAACTGAACTAGAAACTGAAACTAGAACTGAACTAGAACTGAACTAGAACTGACTAGAACTGAACTAGAACTGAACTAGAACTGAACTTAAACTGAACTAGAACTGAACTAGAACTGAACTAGAACTGAACTAGAACTGAACTAGAACTGAACTAGAACTGAACTAGAACTGAACTAGAACTGAACTAGAACTGAACTAGAACTGAACTAGAACTGAACTAGAACTGAACTAGAACTGAACTAGAACTGAACTAGAACTGAACTAGAACTGAACTAGAACTGAACTAGAACTGAACTAGAACTGAACTAGAACTGAACTAGAACTGAACTAGAACTGAACTAGAACTGAACTAGAACTGAACTAGAACTGAACTAGAACTGAACTAGAACTGAACTAGAACTGAACTAGAACTGAACTAGAACTGAACTAGAACTGAACTAGAACTGAACTAGAACTGAACTAGAACTGAACTAGAACTGAACTAGAACTGAACTAGAACTGAACTAGAACTGAACTAGAACTGAACTAGAACTGAACTAGAACTGAACTAGAACTGAACTAGAACTGAACTAGAACTGAACTAGAACTGAACTAGAACTGAACTAGAACTGAACTAGAACTGAACTAGAACTGAACTAGAACTGAACTAGAACTGAACTAGAACTGAACTAGAACTGAACTAGACTGAACTAGAACTGAACTAGAACTGAACTAGAACTGAACTAGAACTGAACTAGAACTGAACTAGAACTGAACTAGAACTGAACTAGAACTGAACTAGAACTGAACTAGAACTGAACTAGAACTGAACTAGAACTGAACTAGAACTGAACTAGAACTGAACTAGAACTGAACTAGAACTGAACTAGAACTGAACTAGAACTGAACTAGAACTGAACTAGAACTGAACTAGAACTGAACTAGAACTGAACTAGAACTGAACTAGACTGAACTAGAACTGAACTAGAACTGAACTAGAACTGAACTAGAACTGAACTAGAACTGAACTAGAACTGAACTAGAACTGAACTAGAACTGAACTAGAACTGAACTAGAACTGAACTAGAACTGAACTAGAACTGAACTAGAACTGAACTAGAACTAGAACTGAACTAGAACTAAACTGAACTAGAACTAGAACTGAACTAGAACTAGAACTGAACTAGAACTAGAACTGAACTAGAACTGAACTAGAACTGAACTAGAACTGAACTAGAACTGAACTAGAACTGAACTAGAACTGAACTAGAACTGAACTAGAACTGAACTAGAACTGAACTAGAACTGAACTAGAACTGAACTAGAACTGAACTAGAACTGAACTAGAACTGAACTAGAACTGAACTAGAACTGAACTAGAACTGAACTAGAACTGAACTAGAACTGAACTAGAACTGAACTAGAACTGAACTAGAACTGAACTAGAACTGAACTAGAACTGAACTAGAACTGAACTAGAACTGAACTAGAACTGAACTAGAACTGAACTAAACTGAACTAAACTGAACTAGAACTGAACTAGAACTGAACTAGAACAGAACTAGAACTGAACTAGAACTGAACTAGAACTGAACTAGAACTGAACTAGAACTGAACTAAACTGAACTAGAACTAGAACTGAACTAGAACTGAACTAGAACTAGAACTGAACTAGAACTGAACTAGAACTGAACTAGAACTGAACTAGAACTGAACTAGAACTGAACTAGAACTGAACTAGAACTGAACTAGAACTGAACTAGAACAGAACTAGAACTGAACTAGAACTGAACTAGAACTGAACTAGAACTGAACTAGAACTGAACTACTGAACTAGAACTGAACTAGAACTGAACTAGAACTGAACTAGAACTGAACTAGAACTGAACTAGAACTGAACTAGAACTGAACTAGAACTGAACTAGAACTGAACTAGAACTGAACTAGAACTGAACTAGAACTGAACTAGAACTGAACTAGAACTGAACTAGAACTGAACTAGAACTGAACTAGAACTGAACTAGAACTGAACTAGAACTGAACTAGAACTGAACTAGAACTGAACTAGAACTGAACTAGAATTGAACTAGAACTGAACTAGAACTGAACTAGAACTGAACTAGAACTGAACTAGAACTGAACTAGAACTGAACTAGAACTGAACTAGAACTGAACTAGAAGAACTGAACTAGAAATGAACTAGAACTGAACTAGAACTGAACTAGAACTGAACTAGAACTGAACTAGAACTGAACTAGAACTGAACTAGAACTGAACTAGAACTGAACTAGAACTGAACTAGAACTGAACTAGAACTGAACTAGAACTGAACTAGAACTGAACTAGAACTGAACTAGAACTGAACTAGAACTGAACTAGAACTGAACTAGAACTGAACTAGAACTGAACTAGAACTGAACTAGAACTGAACTAGAACTGAACTAGAACTGAACTAGAACTGAACTAGAACTGAACTAGAACTGAACTAGAACTGAACTAGAACTGAACTAGAACTGAACTAGAACTGAACTAGAACTGAACTACTGAACTGAACTAGAACTGAACTAGAACTGAACTAGAACTGAACTAGAACTGAACTAGAACTGAACTAGAACCGAACTAGAACCGAACTAGAACTGAACTAGAACTGAACTAGAATTAAAGTAGAAGTGAACTAGAGATAAAATTTCTGTAATTGTTTCTTAAATAAAAATTTAATTTTTTGTGTTTTTCAGGCGCTCCTCAAGTCCTACGTTTACATCCCTCTATGCATACTGTCCTGGTAAAGAGAGGAGATCCAGCTTCTCTTACTTTAGTGGTGTGTGCCGATCCTCGGCCACATCGTGTTGCCTGGGAATGGGGCTCACTGAGACTAGATGCTGGTTCAGCGATAGGTGGGTAAAAGATATAATAAGTAATTTCAACTTTAATACTAAAATTTTATGTTTTCTCTTTTTTATATTATTCTTTCTTTTTCATGAAAAAAAATAAAACTACATAATGCCGATAAACTGATAACATTGACAATCCACGTTGACAATAATTAATTTCATTCAAAATTCTCAAATTATCTAATAATAATGATGTTGGCGGTTTTGTGCATATGGGGGAATATTTAATCCTTTATATATAAAATGAATAATGTATATCAAAATATTTTACTCTAATTTTATTCCACCTAAATTTATTTTAAAATATTATTTTAAAATTGGGGATTTTAAAATTTCTGTCTATAATGCTTAATGTAATCCATCCTGTGTTTATGTGTTTATATGTCTTTATCCGCCTTAATATTGTTTGAATTAAACGAAATTATATTGGCCTGTAAATTTTGGGGTTGGTGTTAATATATTTTGGTCAAATGATTGTAATATTATTATTGTATGTAATTTAACACCTTATTAATGTTAAAATACAATAACGTGGATTTTAAAATTAATGTTTTTGATGGGGTTATAATCACATGATATTTTGTATGAAAACTCAACACCCAACTCATCACCAAATAAATATTTGTTCATCATACATCATATCAACAACAATAACGGATATGAACATTATAAACAACAATAACGACAACAACTTCATCATCATTATCGTCATCACCATGGTCTACAAATCCATCTAAAATGTACAATATTCATTCATTCACACATCCTTGTATTATTCCAACATGTCCACAAAACTCGTTCGCCATTTGACAACATCACAACATATCTATCTGTATTGTCAAATCGCATTTGTTACCGGGCATTAATTTCTAATGTTACTGCTCCTGATGCTTCTAATGCTGCTAATGTCATTTTGTGTTGACATTTTTACTTTTAATTTGGTATTGGTGTGTATGTTTGTGTGTGTGTATTTAGACCGTTTCCGTGCCGATGATTTACTACAAGATACACGCGAGGATTGTTACCTTTCCACATTACACATCCATCATACCAGTGAACATGATGCACGTCCTTATTATTTGGTTGTGGAAAATGAACGTGGTACTGATCGTCATGCCATTCAATTGAATGTGGAGGGTACGTTTACAGGTGCAGAAAAATCATGATTTTCTTTATTCTTTGTTTATAATTTATTTTATATTTATTATTTAATATTTAGTTTTTTTCTTTAATTCGGTGTGTAATGTTCTTTTTAATATATTGGTGTCTAACTTAATAATAATATATATGGATGATGGTAATAATTAAGTAAAATAACATATTTAAATAAAAGAAAACAGATTGGAAAGACAATATAACATTTGCCACCCATAAAACTCTCATTATATTTAGTTTTTCTTTAAAGAAAATCTTACAATTTTACAATTTTGAAAGATTTTATCCAAATACTATTTATAAATATTAATCATACGCTACGTATGCGGAAATAATAATAAGTAAATATCATTTACTATTTTTGGCATATATAATATATTAATATTTTTTTAATAGTTTATGGTTGTCGGCTACAATCTGTTTTCCTTTAGTTAAACATTACAATTTTAATATGTATTTATGTATTTCAAGCATGATTTTTTTATTTCTTTAAGTTTTCAATTCATATAATTACAAATTTCTAAAATATATTATTTAGTTATATAAATGAAGATCAAATATAAATTTTTGTCGCCAAACTTTGACCTGAGAAATGAGTGCAGTGCAGTTATAATTCACGTCAGTTGTAGTTCAGTTCTAGTTCAGTTCTAGTTCTGTTCTAGTTCTGTTCTAGTTCAGTTCTAGTTCAGTTCTAGTTCAGTTCTAGTTCAGTTCTAGTTCAGTTCTAGTTCAGTTCTAGTTCAGTTCTAGTTCAGTTCTAGTTCAGTTCTAGTTCAGTTCTAGTTCAGTTCTAGTTCAGTTCTAGTTCAGTTCTAGTTCAGTTCTAGTTCAGTTCTAGTTCAGTTCTAGTTCAGTTCTAGTTCAGTTCTAGTTCAGTTCTAGTTCAGTTCTAGTTCAGTTCTAGTTCAGTTCTAGTTCAGTTCTAGTTCAGTTCTAGTTCAGTTCTAGTTCAGTTCTAGTTCAGTTCTAGTTCAGTTCTAGTTCAGTTCTAGTTCAGTTCTAGTTCAGTTCTAGTTCAGTTCTAGTTCAGTTCTAGTTCAGTTCTAGTTCAGTTCTACTTCAGTTCTAGTTCAGTTCTAGTTCAGTTCTAGTTCAGTTCTAGTTCTAGTTCTGTTCTAGTTCTGTTCTAGTTCAGTTCTAGTTCAGTTCTAGTTCAGTTCTAGTTCAGTTCTAGTTCTGTTCTAGTTCTGTTCTAGTTCAGTTCCAGTTCAGTTCTAGTTCAGTTCCAGTTCAGTTCTAGTTCAGTCTAGTTCAGTTCTAGTTCAGTTCTAGTTCAGTTCTAGTTCAGTTCTACTTCAGTTCTAGTTCAGTTCTAGTTCAGTTCTAGTTCAGTTCTAGTTCAGTTCTAGTTCAGTTCTAGTTCAGTTCTAGTTCTGTTCTAGTTCTGTTCTAGTTCAGTTCTAGTTCAAGTTCTAGTTCAGTTCTAGTTCAGTTCTAGTTCTGTTCTAGTTCTGTTCTAGTTCAGTTTCCAGTTCAGTTCTAGTTCAGTTCCAGTTCAGTTCTAGTTTAGTTCTAGTTCAGTTCTAGTTTCAGTTCTAGTTCAGTTCTAGTTCAGTTCTAGTTCAGTTCTAGTTCAGTTCTAGTTCAGTTCTAGTTCAGTTCTAGTTCAGTTCTAGTTCGTTCTAGTTCAGTTCTAGTTCAGTTCTAGTTCAGTTCTAGTTCAGTTCTAGTTCAGTTCTAGTTCAGTTCTAGTTCAGTTCTAGTTCAGTTCTAGTTCAGTTCTAGTTCAGTTTCTAGTTCAGTTCTAGTTCAGTTCTAAGTTCAGTTCTAGTTCAGTTCTAGTTCAGTTCTAGTTAAGTTCTAGTTCAGTTCTAGTTCAGTTCTAGTTCAGTTCTAGTTCAGTTCTAGTCAGTTCTAGTTCAGTTCTAGTTCAGTTCTATTAATATTACTGCTTCACTCAAGCTTCCGTTAAAGCATTTATTCTAAAATAACATGATGTTTGAACTCAGAAGAACAGATAGATTAAAATTAAGCCATATTTTTTCTAATATTTTCAAACGAAAAGCCTATTCATAAAACTATTTTCAATATGTTTTTAATAAAAATCTCTGTAATAATCTCCTATTTAATCGTATTTAATACACATGTTTTAGAGCAATATATTTTTTTTTTTTTTTTTTGAACAAACACAAAAAAGTGCAGCTCTAGAGATTTCAATAATCTGTATTTAATGCCGTGTATTTAAATTTGATATAGATTTATGGGCTTTAGTATAAAATTGTAAAATATGTTTAATACAATATATTAGATAAAGATTTAAGAGGTTTTTTGAAAAAATAAACGAAAATGATATTAAAGATATCATTTTCATAAAAATTAAATGGGATAAATATTTTAGTTTTAAAGCCTTAATTGCAAATAGTTTTAGAATTTATGACAAAATAAAAAAATTTTATTATATTGTTCATTTTATTTGATCATGAAGTAATGCATAATTTATGTAATTTCTTAGTTCTTCATTAACTTGTGTGTACTACAAGACGTATGATTGATATTAATTATTTTACTTATATACAAATTACTGTATAACTTCGAAATGGCTGTTTGTAATTTTAATTTTAATACAACATTTTAAATCTAATAAACACAGGTCTTTAAGAAAATAAATAGATTTTTATAAAACATATCAAAATGTTTAGAAAATTCATTAACAAAATAAAATTATTTAAAAATGTACAAATATTAAAGATTTTACTTTTTGTAATTTTAATTATTTTATTAAAGTTTTATCATTATAAATGTATCAACTTATCAAAAACATAAATGTGTCAGTGTAATTATTATTTCAATAAATTGAATTATTTCTGATTACAATCATAATAATAACAATAATTATATTTATTTACTAATCTAATAACCTAAATCAATTACTACTAATACTAGTAAAAACAAACAACAATAGAAAACAATACAATACACTCATACTTAAATACACCAAACAAATTAAAAATTTATAATTTAAAACAAGAATGCATACATAGTATATAATGGTATACAGATATGTATATATGTATGTATGTATACAGCCATACATACTTATATATTTACAAAAAATTAACATATTGACCTTATCATATTTTATTTAATTTCTATTATTTTATGTTTTTTTTTCGTTTTTTGTTTAGGTTTTTTCAAAATTTTTCTAATTTCTGGTTAGATAACTAATTATTTTTTAAACAAAGAGTTGGGGCATTATGGGAAAAGGGGATCATTTAAAAAACGTGTTTTGGGCTGTAACAGTTTACATTATATTTATAATAATTAAATACAATTAATTATGCAAATGTTTATTAACTATTACTATTTAGCAACAATAAGTAGGGGTTATTGGTTGTAAACAATCATATACATACATAATTGTATTATAAATGCATATTTGCATAAAATTTTGTTAAATTTTAATTTGTTAATGAATAAATTACAAGGTTAAATTAACGAGGGCATAAGTATTTCATAATGGGAATTCTATAAATGCAGGCTAAGGTTGAGGAAATATAGCCAAACAACATTGCTAGCAAGGGCACTTACACGGATACTTCTATTTAGCTCTGTTCTAGTTCTAGCTCTGTTCTAGTTCTGTTCTAGTTCTGTTCTGTTCTAGTTCTGTTCTAGTTCTGTTCTAGTTCTGTTCTAGTTCTGTTCTAGTTCTGTTCTAGTTCTGTTCTAGTTCTGTTCTAGTTCTGTTCTAGTTCTGTTCTAGTTCTGTTCTAGTTCTGTTCTAGTTCTGTTCTAGTTCTGTTCTAGTTCTGTTCTAGTTCTGTTCTAGTTCTGTTCTAGTTCTGTTCTAGTTCTGTTCTAGTTCTGTTTCTAGTTCTGTTCTAGTTCTGTTCTAGTTCTGTTCTAGTTCTGTTCTAGTTCTGTTCTAGTTCTGTTCTAGTTCTGTTCTAGTTCTGTTCTAGTTCTGTTCTAGTTCTGTTCTAGTTCTGTTCTAGTTCTGTTCTAGTTCTGTTCTAGTTCTGTTCTAGTTCTGTTCTAGTTCTGTTCTAGTTCTGTTCTAGTTCTGTTCTAGTTCTGTTCTAGTTCTGTTCTAGTTCTGTTCTAGTTCTGTTCTAGTTCTGTTCTAGTTCTGTTCTAGTTCTGTTCTAGTTCTGTTCTAGTTCTGTTCTAGTTCTGTTCTAGTTCTGTTCTAGTTCTGTTCTAGTTCTGTTCTAGTTCTGTTCTAGTTCTGTTCTAGTTCTGTTATAGTTCTGTTCTAGTTCTGTTCTAGTTCTGTTCTAGTTCTGTTCTAGTTCTGTTCTAGTTCTGTTCTAGTTCTGTTCTAGTTCTGTTCTAGTTCTGTTCTAGTTCTGTTCTAGTTCTGTTCTAGTTCTGTCTAGTTCTGGTCTAGTTCTGTTCTAGTTCTAGTTCTGTCTAGTTCTGTTCTAGTTCTGTTCTAGTTCTGTTCTAGTTCTGTTCTAGTTCTGTTCTAGTTCTGTTCTCGTTCTGTTTCTAGTTCTGTTCTAGTTCTGTTCTAGTTCTGTTCTAGTTCTGTTCTAGTTCTGTTCTAGTTCTGTTCAGTTCTGTTCTAGTTCTGTTCTAGTTCTGTTCTAGTTTCTGTTCTAGTTCGTTCTAGTTCTGTTCTTTAGTTCTGTTCTAGTTCTGTTCTAGTTCTGTTCTAGTTCTGTTCGAGTTCTGTCTAGTTCTAGTTCTGTTCTAGTTTCTGTTCTAGTTCTGTTCTAGTTCTGTTTCTAGTTCTGTTCTAGTTCTGTTCTAGTCTTTCTTTCTGTTCTAGTTCTGTTCTAGTTTCTGTTCTAGTTCTGTTCTAGTTCTGTTCTAGTTCTGTTCTAGTTCTGTTCTAGTTTCTGTCTAGTTCTGTTCTAGTTGTGTTCTAGTTGTGTTCTAGTTCCTTTCTAGTTCTGTTCTAGTTCTGTTCTGTTCTGTTCTAGTTCTGTTCTAGTTCTGTTCTAGTTCTGTTCTAGTTCTGTTCTAGTTCTGTTCTAGTTCTGTTTCTCTTCTAGTTATTGCTAGTTTTCCTTGTCTCTCTTACTCCTGATATGAACTCCCCCTAAATTATTTATATTTTATTATTTTTCAACATTTTGGTGTATTTAAGTATTAAGTTTTTATAAACTTATGTATGTATACATGTACATCCAGATGTGTGTTTGTGCATTTAAAAAAGCATGTTTTTAAAAATAATATTATTTTTACTCTCGCTATTGTGTAAACATAATAATATAAATATATAAATATGTATCTATAAATATTTAAAAATATGTATGTGTGTTTGTGTTTATTAATGTGTGTGTAACAAAAAATATTTATATATATAAAATATTACTAAATAACAAACCAAAAAAAATCTTTTTTCTCCCCATTTCTTCCAAAAAAAACGTAATTTTTAACATAATAATTGCTGTTAAATGCACGTATTTTTAAAATGGCAAAAATAATAACTTTGGGATTGGATTTGTGTTTGTGAAATCATACACTCATCATCATGGTCATATAAATGATATTCGAATAAATATGACAAAAAATTAACACAAAAAAAAACAATTATAATTGCCACAAAAACACTTGGCAACGCTTTTGTTCTATGGCTGCCGTAACGATTACTGGTATATGAATAGAACCCTTGGAAATGAGTTATTTATTGGGCATTGCTGGCGGCTGTTTGGCAGCTTTATTTATATTAATTTGTCTTTGTATTTATGCAATACGCATTAAAAAGTGCTGCTTTAAAGGTGAGTGAAAGAAATTTACGTCTAATATTATTTTTGTAAAAGAAAATTAAGAATACTTGTTATAGGGTAAAAGCCCTAAACAGCTCTCGTTTAATTCTACTTCAGTCTTTAATAAAAACATTTATATAATTAAATAATTATTTTTCGTTTTCATGTATCATTTTCCCATTAATACTTTGTTTTTACTTATTTATTGTTTGTTACACACAAAATAATATTTCCATAATTTCATTGTTAAATTAATATAAACAACTGTTTTTTTGTTCACTTTGCATCAGTCATTGTTCGTTATTTCATTGTTACTGTTCATCATTATTTTTTATAAATTTTTACTTTTTTCTGTTACAAAAAAAAATTATAGTATTGTTTAAATTATTTGCATATTAATGCATTCTGCTGGCAGAATATTAAGGACATGGAGGAAAATAAATATACAGTAAAAGAAATGACTTTCACATTGCTGTTAAAAAAGTTTTTTTTATTATCTTTCTGCATTAAATACAATGCGTAAAGTACAGTATAAAGATAAATTGTTTAAATAAATAAAGAGATTTTTTTGCATATTTACAATGGCCGTGATGAATATGGTGAAAAGTTACTATTTTTCTGAGCCGAGTAGACCGCAGGCTTAACAGAAAAAGCTTTGGGTAGTTAACAATACCAAATATTTTAAATTAAGGCGATAGTTTTTAAATCAAATAACATAATATAAATCAATATTTTCTGTTAATTTTTTTTACTTTTCTTAAAAGAGACAGAAATTTATATTTACCTTCTTCTAAAGAACAAAAATATATAAAAAAAAAAATATTCTCTTGTTCAGTTCTAGTTCAGTTCTAGTTCTAGTTCTAGTTCAGTTCTAGTTCAGTTCTAGTTCAGTTCTAGTTCAGTTCTAGTTCAGTTCTAGTTCAGTTCTAGTTCAGTTCTAGTTCAGTTCTAGTTCAGTTCTAGTTCAGTTCTAGTTCAGTTCTAGTTCAGTTCTAGTTCAGTTCTAGTTCAGTTCTAGTTCAGTTCTAGTTCAGTTCTAGTTCAGTTCTAGTTCTAGTTCAGTTCTAGTTCAGTTCTAGTTCAGTTCTAGTTCAGTTCTAGTTCAGTTCTAGTTCAGTTCTAGTTCAGTTCTAGTTCAGTTCTAGTTCAGTTCTAGTTCAGTTCTAGTTCAGTTCTAGTTCAGTTCTAGTTCAGTTCTAGTTCAGTTCTAGTTCAGTTCTAGTTCAGTTCTAGTCAGTTCTAGTTCAGTTCTAGTTCAGTTTCTAGTTCAGTTCTAGTTCATTCTAGTTTCAGTTCTAGTTCAGTTCTAGTTCAGTTTCTAGTTCAGTTCTAGTTCAGTTTCTAGTTCAGTTCTAGTTCAGTTCTAGTTCAGTTCTAGTTCAGTTCTAGTTCAGTTCTAGTTCAGTTCTAGTTCAGTTCTAGTTCAGTTCTAGTTCAGTTCTAGTTCAGTTCTAGTTCAGTTCTAGTTCAGTTCTAGTTCAGTTCTAGTTCAGTTCTAGTTCAGTTCTAGTTCAGTTCTAGTTCAGTTCTAGTTCAGTTCTAGTTCAGTTCTAGTTCAGTTCTAGTTCAGTTCTAGTTCGTAGTTCAGTTCTAGTTCAGTTCTAGTTCAGTTCTAGTTCAGTTCTAGTTCAGTTCTAGTTCAGTTCTAGTTCAGTTCTAGTTCAGTTTCTAGTTCAGTTCTAGTTCAGTTCTAGTTCAGTTCTAGTTCAGTTCTAGTTCAATTCTTGTTCACTGCTAGTTCACTTTAGGTTCAGTTTTTTATAAAATTCCCCACTTCTTAAGCAGTTAAATTTTTCCAATATATTCATTAAGCCAAAGCCTTTCCATTTATGCCTAATTAAATTGAGCAAAATTGTATTAACTTTTTTATATTAAGGGAACTGCATTAATTTTGAAAACTTTTTTCTTTAGTTTTGAATTTGTTAAGTAGTTTGGTCATTTAGCTACTTAACAGCAAACTTCAGAGATGGTTTATGAATATTTGATTTAATTTACTGCTGAATCAATTATCATTCTGCTGCTCTTTTACTCTTCCTTCTATACAAAATTCCCTAACGGAAAAGGTTTTTCATTTACTGTATAATTAACCCTTAGAAAAAAAAAACATTTTTCCAATTAATAATGACCATCTACGAGAAAAAGTAGAAAACAAAAGCATTGAAAAAATTCCACAAAATTACAATATTATTATTGTTTATTTATATATTGTTTGTTTTGTTTTCTCTTTTTGGGGTTGTACATTTTTTATAATTTTTTTAGAAAGAAACCCTGTTTTCCTGTTTCGTGGGAGTTTTTGGGTTTTTTCCTTAGTCCTTTTGTTTTTAATTTTTTTTATCTTAATTTTTGGTGTTGTAATGGACAACAAGGGTTTAGGGCAAAACAACAGCAACACAATAATAAGTTAAGCCAACCAAAAAACAAATAAACAAATATTTATTCATTAAGCAGTTTGCGTAAAATCAACAATAAACTCATTCAAATACACATATAGACATAAAAGTAAATACTCTCTCCATATCCCTGGTTCTACTGCTGCACAGAGGCAGACAAGTAAACAGATACAAATAATTATACAAATACACGTTTAGACACAACAAACACCAACTAATGAATTAATGGGGTAAAACATACAGAAACAGAGGCTCAGGGAGTTGATAAAGTTTTTTTTGCTCTAGGCAAGTCTGACTTTAGATGAATTGCTATTTAAAAGCAAATAACTTGGCTAAATCGAGAGATATTTAAGGAATTTGAAAAAAAGGATTTTACAACCTCGGAAGTTACCTTTGGCTTTTAAGCTTATTTGATTCTCCCTTCCAAGGCTTTACTTAATTGTAATTTTTTTACTAAAGTCCCAAAAACGTCAATGGACTTTGTTACCTTTAATTTTTGTTATAGAGTATTCTTCAGGGAAAACAACAATGAAGTTTCAAATTAGGACAAAAAAATGTACACAAACAAGTTTATTTTAAATTAAATTGCTTAAAACAAAACCCTTTTTGGGCGCGAGAGAGAAAATTGTCTTCTCACTGAAAAAACTCCCTCATAAGAAAAGAGTAATTGTTATAGAAAATTGGACTCTCTTAAGAAAAGAGAGATATTTTCTATTCAAAATTGTACTCTCTTAGGAAAAGGTAGGTATATTCTATAGAAAGTTTTACTGTTTTAGAAAAAGAGAGAAATGTTCTATAGAAAATTGTAGTCTCTTAGGAAAAGAGAGACATTTTCTATAGAAAATTGTACTCTCTTAGGAAAAGAGAGAAATTTTCTAAAGAAAATTGTACTCTCTTAGGAAAAGAAAGACATTTTCTATAAAAAATTGTACTGTTTTAAGAAATTAGAGAAATTTTTAATAGAAGATTGTACTCTCTTAGGAAAAGAGAGAAACTTTCAAAAAAACATTGTACTCCCTCATAAGAAGAGAGTAATTTTTATAGAAAATTGGACTCTTTTAAGAAAATTGTACTCTCTTTAGAAAAGAAAGAACTTTTCTATAGAAAATTGTACTCTCTTAGGAAAAATTTGACATTTTTTATAGAAAATTTTACTCTCTTAGAAATTAGAGTATTTTTTAATAAAATACTCTTGGGAAAAGAGAAAATTTTTCTATAAAAATTGTACTCTCTTAGGAAAAGAGAGAAATTTTCTATAGAATATTATACTCATTTTGAAAAAGAGAGGGAATTGTACTCTCTTCGGAAATTAGAGAATTTTTTTTATAGAAGATTGTACTCTCTTGGAAAAAGAGAAAAAATTTCTATAAAAATTGTACTGTGTTGAGAAAAGAGAGAAATTTTCTATAGAAAATTGTACTCTCTTAGGAAAAGAGAGATTTTCTATAGAAAAATTTTACTCTCTTCCAAAGAAGTGGAAGATTGAGAAATATATATAAAAATGTTCTATAGAAGTTATGAAAAGTATGCATTTTTCTATAGAAAATTGTACTCTCTTATAAAAAGAAAGACATTTTCTATGGAAAATTGTACTCTTTTATAAAAAGGTAAAAATTTTCTATGGAAAATTGTACTATCTTATAAAAAGATAGAAATTTTCTATAGAAAATTGTACTCTCTTAAATAAAGGAAGAGAAAGAAAGAGAAATTTTCATAAAAAAATTGGCAAGGAGAGAACTTTTCAATAGAAAATTGTATTATCTTGTACTCTCTTTGAATGCAATAGGAATTTTATGTAGAAAAGTTTACTCTCTTTGTAAGAAAGAGACATTTTCTATGGGCATAGTTACACTCTTTGGAAAAAGGAAAATTTTCTATAGAAAATATTAGAGAGAAATTTTTTATAGAAAATTGTATTATTTTTGAAAAAGTGAGAGTTTTTTAACTCATAGCAAGAGAGAAAGATATTTTCTAAGAAAATTGTATTATCTTTGATAGAGAGAAACATTGTCTATGGGAAGTTTTACTCTCTTTAGAAAAGACGTAAAAGAGTGGAATTTTTTCAAAATCCTTCTTTTTACGGATTTTTTATACTTTAAAGAATTAAGTTTTAATTTTTATAAAATTATTAAAAAAAAAATCCCATAAAATCTACAAACATTTCATTCTCACAAAAAAAAAATCACAGAAATTAAAAATAAAAACCGTCAAATGGCCTGAAGTTATATAGAAAAAATATAAAAAAGCTATATGTATTTATTATCATTTTATTAAAAACAAAAAGCAATTGTCCTTAAGAGCAAAATAATAACAAAAAAAGAGAATGAGAAAGAAGAAAAGCATTAATTTTGTTTCATGTTTTCATTAAGCAAGTGACCATGCCAAAAGATTTCGCTTGCATTTTGTTCATTGTTTTTTTTTTCGTTTTTTTTTTTTTTTTTGCATTTTTCCTGCAGTCCCTCTTTTGTTGTTCATCCGTTTCCTGCTTATGTTGTTTTAATTAAACAAAGTGATGATGATGGTGGTGGGGTATTTGTTTGTTTTTGTTAGTAGTGGACAGAGTGGCTGCTAAAACAGCAAAACAAGTCATTCCTAAGCAAATGAAACGACCATCCAATGTGGTGCCATTAAGGTTTTTATTAAAATAACAAGAAAAAATTATAGAAATAAAAATTGAAATTTTATTTTTGTTTAGATTTGTTTTTTTAGCAGACTATTTTTTCAAAATTACATTTTGCTCTTTGCAGCTTCATTTGGCAGGAAGGTTTTGAAATATTAAAATTTTAATTTTTGAAAGTAAAATTAAACTTTAAACAAATAAAAAGTTTCAATCCAAGCAAACTTAACAAAAAATGTGGCAATCAATTTAGAAATTGTCAGTTTAATTAACATTTTCTTCATTTCAAAGCCACCAAATAACAAATAAATAAAACAGCAATATACCATTTCCCATTACTCCAACTCCTTAAGCGAGAAAAAATGCAAATTTTGTTTAACTGAAAACAACACAGAGAAAGTTAGCAACAAAAAAAAAACAAACAAACCGAAAGACAGACAGATAACCAAACAAAAAGAAAACGCAACGGAAACCGGAACTGCATACATGTCACAAACATTATCCGTTATTTGCAAATGGCAACACGGCATAGAAAACCAACAAAAAACAACCAAAACATGGTGGCTGATAGTGTTAAGAGTATCTATGTATATATGTTTGTGAATGAGTGAGCGTACACGAACAGCATGTCTATAAAGTTCTATAACTCAGCTGTCAATCAATGTGTCAATTTAGTAAACAACACTGTTACTGCTACAATACCAACAGAACAACAACAGCAGCAACAACCACTAGATAAACAAACAAAACTCCACATCCATATCCATCTTCAATATTTCATTCTACTCTCAGATAGACATCATGTCAATTTTCTTCAAACAAGAGAGGCAGGTGTATAAAAGGCAACCAATTGCATTGAGACGTAAAGCGTAGGGGAAAAATAAGTAAGACTCTACCAGAACCCTACTCAAGCCCTCAATTGCGTGTTTTTGACAATGAGTGTCAGCAACAGCCGGATAAAGATGAAATGTCAAATTAAATTTGACAGGTTTATTTTATAAGATACTCTTTTAGAATGCTAATGGAAAGAGCGAGACAAGACAAGGGTTTCAAAACTTAAACAAGTTTTCTGAAGTGGACGAAAAAAAAAAACGTAATAAAATTTTAATTTTATTGAAAATTTTCTATTGTTTTAAGATAAAAATAAAAGTTTCGCTTTTGGGGCAGGAGATATCGTCTAAATTATACAAACGAAATGTCAATGTTTGACAGTTTATATCACTTCCTTAACTATTTAATGCTAAAGAAGTGATATATAATATATAAATGTAACCACCAATGAGAGAATAATTTTCCATAGAAAATTCTATCTTATAATAAAGTGAAAATTTGGCTATAGAAACTTTCTCTCTTATACCAAAAGAGAACAAAACTTTATCTCTTTTACCAGGAAAGAACAATAGAGAATTTCTATGTCTAACTTATAGAAAGCCATTTACAAAGAGAGCACTTTTTTCGACAGTAAATTTCTCTCTCTTACTAAGATATAAAAGAATTTTATTTAAAATTTGTTCTCATCACAATTTTCTACAGCAAATTTCTCACTCTCTCTCTTCAAAGAGAATAAAATTTTCTATAGACTATTTCTCTCTTACTAAGGTAAAGTAACTTTTTATAACATATTTCTCTCTATTACAAAAAAGGTTCAATTTACTTTATCGAATTTTTCTCTCTTACAAAGAGAGCACAATTTTTATGTAAAATGTATCTCTCTTGTACACTTTTCTAATAAAAATGTCTCTTTCATACGAATAGATCACAATTTTCTATAGAAATTTCTTTCTCTAACAAAGAGAGCACTGTTCTCTAAAGAAAATTTCTCTTCCTTACAAAAGACAGCTCAATTATCTATAGAAAATTTCTTTCTCTTACAATGAGAGCTCATTATTTTATAGAAAATTTCTCTCTCTTACAAAAAGAATACAATTTTCTACAGAAATTTTCTCTCTCCCTCTCTCTCTTACAAAGAGAGCATAATTTTCGACAAAAATGTTCTCTCTCTTACAAAGATAATTCAATTTTTTATAGAAAATTCCCTTCTCTTACCAAGAAAATGTGTCTCTCTTACAAAGAGAGTACAGTTTATTATGGAAAATGTTATTCTCCTACAAAGAGAGTCAATTTTCAAGAGGAAATTTCTATCTCTCACAAAGAGAACACAATTTTCAATAGAAACTTTCCATCTCCCTCTCACAAAGAGAGCATTATTTTCGACAGAAACTTTCTATCTCTTACGAAGAGAGCAAAATTTTCCTCTCTCGTACAAAGAGAGCACAGTTTTTTATATAAAATTTCTCAATTTTCTATAGAAAATTTCCCTCTCTTACCAAGAGAGCACAATTTTCTATAGAAAATTGGTAGGAGAAGGGAAATTTTATATAGAAAATTGAACTTTCTTTGTATAAGAGATATTTTCTAAAAAAATTGTGATCTCTTTTCTCTCTCTCTCTCTCTCTCTCTCTATTACAAAGAGAGCATTATTTTTGACAGAAACTTTTTTTGAGCACAATTTTCTATAGAAAATTTTCTTTCTCGTGCAAGGAGAGCACAATTTTCAATAGAAAATTTCTCTTTCTTACAAAGAGAGTACAAAAGAGAATGCAATTCTATAGAAAATTTCTCTTTCTTAGAAAAAAGGAACAATTTTCTATAGACAATTTTTTTCTCTTACAAAATTTTCTAAATTTCTCTCCATCTCTTTGTAAGAGAGAGCAATTTTGTAATAAAAACATCTCTCTCTTGGTAAGAGAGAACAATTTTAAAATGAAAATATCTCTCTCTTTGAAAGAGAGTATAGTTTTTTGAAGAAAACTTCTCGCTCTTTGTAAGATAGAAAGTTTTTTTTATAGAAAATTTCTCCATCTTAGACAGGGAGAACAATTTCCTATAGAAAATTTGTCTCTCTTTTCTAAAAAAACAATTTTCTCCAGAAAAAGTATCTCTCTTATGAAGAGAAAAAGTAATTTTCTAATTAAATTTCTTTATGTTACAAAGAAAGAAAGTTTTTCCATACAAAATGTTTCGGTTTTCTAAGAAGACATTATGTATTCTGGCCCTAAAACTTAGCTCTTTCAATATTCATGAAAATTTTATCAACATTTAGCATTTTCCCTAAAAGTAAAATATTAATAAACAATACTTGCAACAACTAAACTTTGCAACTAAGTTTAGTTCTTTTTTTCAACTTTCAATCCAGCTTCGATGAACAAATAATATCAATATAACTTAAATCTCAAAATTACAACTTTATTTAAAAACTTTTAACAATTTTTTATCTTTTTCTAAATTTAAAAGCAAAATAATAAAAAAAAACATATTTTTACTCTTTCCAGGTAGTGGCGGTTATAAATCATCAGACAAAGACAGGTAAGTTAAAAAACAAAAAACAAGAAAAAACAACAACTATTACCTATGCAACAAAATATATTGTTTTTTTTTTTTTTCTTTTGCATAAACAATTTTTATATTTCTAACACTAGGAAATATTTGAAATATTCTTGGCTAAAGTAAAAACTCTAATAGAGTGTGAGACACAAGAGAGAGTAGTAAGGGCGGTTGGTAATAGATAAAAAATGTTGGTTCAAGTTATTTCAGTTTTTAAAGTTCTTAGTAACTGACCTCAACTCTTGGCAACAGGTGTTGGTAACGAACAAGTATACAATAACTTCTACTAGTACAACTGCTTTGCTGTATAGTAGTTGTTGCCACAAACTTTTCTCTTTGCATATTTATTTATGTGTATGAGTGTGGTGTTGGTGTTGTGGTATATCCTTTTTTTGTGTGGTCCGTTTTTTGATATTTGTATATAAATCGTATAGTTTTTTTTGTTGTTATAAACATTTATGGTTATTTTTTTCTGCTCCTACTCTTATATTTTCTCATTTCATGGAGTGTTGGAAAAACAAAAAAATATTCTGTATGTATTGTTATGATTTATGCTAAAAGAAGCACAGAGACGGGGTAAGAGGAAAAGCTTAAAATTAAAAGTTTTAGAAGTAAACAAATAGTTAAGAATTTTATCATTAAAGTCCCTTTTTCTTAACACGCCCCTGTCTCATGGTAATTTTATACAAAATATACTTCGTAGCTGGTGCATGTTATGTCTAGTTATAGTTATGTTTCTATAAAAATTTTTTCTCCTTCATTCTTTTTGTATTGTTGTACAATTACATGGTTATTTTAAAATATTTATAAAAATTTACATATTTTTTGCACCAGCTTGATTATGGACAAGCTTTACATGATTTCCACTTACTACTACCAACAGCAACAAAAGAGAAAGAATATTTTGAGAAGAAAATTGAAAGGATAATGGCAACAAAAATGATAAACAATGTGCTTTAAAAATTTAAGTAAACACAAAATAAATTGGTTTTCAATAATTCGTTACGTAGAGAGTTATTGGGTTTGAACAATTTATATTTTATGAAATTTCTGTTTGGAATAAAAACAAAATATAAAATGAATTATTAAATAAATATTGCTGCTGTACAAACCAAAAATTTAAAGTTTAATTACAGGTTAAAGATAATGAAAGAAAAAAGTTAAATTATTTACAAATAAAGAATATTAGTTTGGAAAAATTTTAATACAAATTATTTTATGTAGAATTTCTTCAGTTCTAGTTCAGTTCTAATTCAGTTCCAGTTCAGTTCCAGTTCAGTTCTAGTTCAGTTCTAGTTCAGTTCTAGTTCAGTTCTAGTTCAGTTCTAGTTCAGTTCTAGTTCAGTTCTAGTTCAGTTCTAGTTCAGTTCTAGTTCAGTTCTAGTTCAGTTCTAGTTCAGTTCTATTCAGTTCTAGTTCAGTTCTAGTTCAGTTCTAGTTCAGTTCTAGTTCAGTTCTAGTTCAGTTCTAGTTCAGTTCTAGTTCAGTTCTAGTTCAGTTCTAGTTCAGTTCTAGTTCAGTTCTAGTTCAGTTCTAGTTCAGTTCTAGTTCAGTTCTAGTCAGTTAGTTCAGTAGTTTCTTCTTAGTTCTAGTTCAGTTCTAGTTCAGTTCTAGTTCAGTTCTAGTTCAGTTCTAGTTCAGTTCTAGTTCAGTTCTAGTTCAGTTCTAGTTCAGTTCTAGTTCAGTTCTAGTTCAGTTCTAGTTCAGTTCTAGTTCAGTTCTAGTTCAGTTCTAGTTCAGTTCTAGTTCAGTTCTAGTTCAGTTCTAGTTCAGTTCTAGTTCAGTTCTAGTTCAGTTCTAGTTCAGTTCTAGTTCAGTTCTAGTTCAGTTCTAGTTCAGTTCTAGTTCAGTTCTAGTTCAGTTCTAGTTCAGTTCTAGTTCAGTTCTAGTTCAGTTCTAGTTCAGTTCTAGTTCAGTTCTAGTTCAGTTCTAGTTCAGTTCTAGTTCAGTTCTAGTCAGTTCTAGTTCAGTTCTAGTTCAGTTCTAGTTCAGTTCTAGTTCAGTTCTAGTTCAGTTCTAGTTTCAGTTCTAGTTCAGTTCTAGTTCAGTTCTAGTTCAGTTCTAGTTCAGTTCTAGTTCAGTTCTAGTTCAGTTCTAGTTCAGTTCTAGTTCAGTTCTAGTTCAGTTCTAGTTCAGTTCTAGTTCAGTTCTAGTTCAGTTCTAGTTCAGTTCTAGTTCAGTTCTAGTTCAGTTCTAGTTCAGTTTAGTCAGTTCTAGTTCAGTTCTAGTTCAGTTCTAGTTCAGTTCTAGTTCAGTTCTAGTTCAGTTCTAGTTCGTTCAGTTCAGTTCTAGTTCAGTTCTAGTTCAGTTCTAGTTCAGTTCTAGTTCAGTTCTAGTTCAGTTCTAGTTCAGTTCTAGGTCAGTTCTAGTTCAGTTCTAGTTCAGTTCTAGTTCAGTTCTAGTTCAGTTCTAGTTCAGTTCTAGTTCAGTTCTAGTTCAGTTCTAGTTCAGTTCTAGTTCAGTTCTAGTTCAGTTCTAGTTCATTTCTAGTAGTTCTAGTTCATTTAGTTCAGTTCTAGTTCAGTTCTAGTTCAGTTCAGTTCAGTTCTAGTTCAGTTCTAGTTCAGTTCTAAATCTCAAAAGAGAGAACGATTTTTTATAAAAAGTAAAATTATCTGAAAAAAATTATTTTGATAAAAAATGAAGTTTTTTATAAAAAATTATTCACTTTTTATTTAAAATAATGAATAATATTCTCAGAAAAAACTCTAAAGAGTTATTTTCTATATAAAATTTCATGCATTATCAAATAAAGAATACATTTCTTTTGAAAAAAATGCATTCTATCAAAGTGAGAACAATTTCCTACAGAAAATTTCACTTTGATTTAAAGAGAGAATAATTCTCTTTTGAAAAATTTACTCTTTACGGGAGTTTCTAATCAAATGCCTTTCAGACAAATATCCAAAAGAGTTTCAGTCTCCAAGAAAAGTTTTCACGTGCCTTTGTCAGAGCCTCAGCTCAAAAGACTTTTTATTCCAATCCTAAAGAAAACTAGACTCACCAACAAAGTCTTAATACAAACTCGCACTAAAAAATCTAACCCTTTTAAACTTAAAACTTAACTTAACTCATCTTATTCTCATCTTTACCTTTTCCTCTTTTCAGTGAAAAAGCCGATCTAAAATCTCGATCTGATAGCACCAGTGGTGGACCGCCAGGTGATTCTATCTATACAACCCCAGCGGGTTTTCACCATCAACAACAACAGCAGCAACAACAACAGGCTCAAGCACAGGCCGCACAAGCCTCACAGCAAATGCATCCACATCATCAGCAATTAGCAGCAGCTGCTGCTGCAGCTGTTGCCAATAATCATGGACATCATGGATCACCCGAAGCAATGAAGGTACGAATGGCTGCAATGATATTACAGCCACCCACTAGGGTCTAGCAGGCAATAACAAATATGACCACAAATACTACTACAACAACTACGAATACTGATACTACAACAACAACAACAACAACGATGACGAACCTAACAAACACAACTACAACAACTAGTACTGATAACAAGACTTTAGTAAATGATACTGAAACAGGATCTTTGAAAAATAATACTCTAACTAATAACAATAATAACAATGCGTTGACACAAATAAATCAAAATAATACACTACAGACTGAAGATACAGTGAAGGATTTGAAACGTCCTATAGAGGAAATTGAAAATCCTGAAAATGTTTTGAATTTAGACACTGTGGCACCGACACAGTGTGTTGAAGAGAAAAACCAAAGTTTATTAAAAATAAATAGCAGCATAACGACGAATACGAATAATTGTAAAGATGATAATTTAGTTAGTTTGGAGATAGATATAGATTTAGATAAGTTATCTTATAATAATCATATAAATAATAGTAATTTAGATTTAGTACAAGATAATAATAAATTAATTAAGCTTAATAAAGAAACTGAATTATTAACAACATTTAGTGAAGAATTTACCAATGAGGAAATTGTAAAAGAAAACAAAAATTTTAAGGATATTTTTGGGGAGAGTAACAATGAAAATTTTGCAAATTTAACTTTAGCCGAAGAGCTTTGCAAAACAGCTCCACAAAATTTACAAATTTCTGTAGTAGAAACCTTTCTGGACACCGAAAGCTATAAACTACTGCAAAAACTTCCCATTAATAATCCTTTCTATAGATTTCACAAACAATCGAATTCTTTTCGTGAAATGCGTACGAAAAAAACGTCCTTTAATTTTTTAACAAATATACGAAAATTTAAGTCTGATACGGATTTATGTCAAACACAAGTTAAAGCAGCAATAGCTGGATGTAATGCCGCCAATGAAAATAGTTTTTATTTTAAAAATAATATTGTAGTTGTAGCCAATCAATGTAAAAAGAATAATAGTAATAATACTACAACAATAACAAGAAATCAAAAATTAGATTTAAAATTTTCTCGCCAACAATTCAATAAACTACAAATCATCATAATGTCCAGAACAACAACAGCAGCAGCAGCAGTCCAATGGTTGGACAACAACAATTAACACAACAAGCGAATGCCACTATGAAGTTGATTAAGCCCACCAATGATTTTAATAATAGTACCGTTATTACCAATCCCTTTTCCATATTTCACGATGATGAGTCTCATTTAACGTTGACGGTGGATAAACGTTTGCGTTGCGCCAGCTCAGCTAGCCGTAGATTGTTAAGAAAACCTACGGGAACTAATTCGTCCTCCACCTCTTCGGCTGGCTCTATAACACTACAACAGTCCAAACCTTTTGCCAGCCAACAGCAATTGAATAACTATCATTATTTATATGGGGTTCCTATCAAGAAATTCGAAAGACAAGACTTTCCTCCTGTAACAGAGGCGGGTATACGCTCGAAAAAATCGAAAATGTCCAGCTCTAGTTCGTCTTCAAGTGTTTTTAAGCAGATTTCTTTGAGAAAAATGTCCAAAACAGCTTCGGCCTCCACTACCAACATTCATGTGCCTTTGTCAGGGCCTCAGCTGAAACGACTTAAGATTTCCTATCCAAATCATACACAACCCTTAAACCCCACCTCGACTCAGCAGCAAGTTCACAGTCACAGCAAAAATACTTATTTCTCCCGTCTGCAGGCTAAAACGCGACAAGGTCTACAAAAACTTAAGGACAAATGCAAACAGTTTAATACCGTCGGTTCTCAGCGTTCACATTTGGGTCGTCATCATAACTCTTCCAGTTTTAAAACTATGTCCAAGGTGGAAAGTTTTCGTTTCATAAGTGATCGCGACAATATACGCAATTATGAGACCCGCTGCATGGCCGCCTATCATCAAGATCATAAACAAAAACAGGGCACTTTATACAAGACCTACAAATCGGAATTGGATTTATCGAAAAACCTCAATTACCTAGAAGCTTATCTCAATCAAAACTTCGAACAACAGCAGTCCGCCCAGTCGGTGGGTCGTGCCCAGGGTCAAAAAATACGTCGAGCTTTTCATCAGATCAGCGAAACAACAGCCAAACATAAACGTACCAATTCCAATTGTTCCGCCGAACAGGAAACGCCCAAGAAATTGAACTTTAGCAAAAATAATTATGAAAATGTACAAAGTCTACCCTTTAATAAATCTGATTCTCTTAGTAGTTCCGACTATGCCTCGGTATTTTCAGCCAATTATGGTGAGGATGTAGTGGGTCACCTGAAAAATGATAAGACTGATTTAAGCTCTCCCCATAAGCTACGCTATGAACATCCCAAAATGTCGGAGTTTGGGTATGATAGTAAGAATATGAAACTGAAACTAAATAAAACTTTAGAAGTGGATAAGGTGAAAGAACTGCATCATAACTTAGTAGAGGCTGAAGATGAGGAAGTGGAGGATAATGAGTTGGTCTTTAAACAGGAGTTACTAAGAATATGCCAAACTAAAGATGCCTACCACTATGAGGAGGAATTTCCTTTAGATATACCCGAAGATGATGAAGATGAATTGGCCTGCAATAATATACGTATCTTGATTAATAATTCAGAGGATTTTGAAAGATCTCCTGAGGAGGACTGGTATATGCAGAGATCGGAAAATGACAATATATCCGAAGTGGCTTTCTATCAGTCACTCAACGAACAGCAATTATATGAGGAAAGACAGCTAAACTATGATCCTTTTATAGCCCACTTACATGCTGATCTTTATCCCTTCAACTCGGAAACAGAGGATGAAAAACAATTGTTATCCTCCTCCTCTTCGCTGCAGCGTTCTCAAAGATTAAGCCATTCTCTGAAATATGATTATGCTCCCACCAGCACGGATTTAAATAACAAATCCTTACATCTGCAGGATTATAAAACTGCAGCCGAAAATGCTCAATTAATGCAAAGTCTTTATAAAACATATCAAACACAAACGCAACCCAAAACATCGGCCACACTGTCCAATTCTTCTTCCTCTACATCATCCATACATCAGCAGCTTACACAGAATTCAACGGCAGTTAATACACAAACTAAATATAAACTTAACAATCATAATTCCCTTAAAACGCCCACAAATGCCACACCCACCTTTAGCAACACCACCACCAACAATGCCAATACTAATTTTCATCAATTACCTGGTCGAAGAACTTCCACTTCTTCCTCTGACAATTTTGATTCATTTATCAGTTCACGCTCCTATCAACACACCAAAATACCCTCTAAAAGATCCTCCTTTACCCAATACCAACAACGTTCTCCTCTCACAGCCACACAACCCCAAATGAATGCTCTCAATTATTATGGTGTCTCTGCTAACAATGACACCTACAGTATACCCTTTAAGCTACAATCCTCTTCCTCCTCTTCTAATCATTCCTCTAAATTATCCAATTCATCCAGTAATTCTACCACTTCTTCCTCACACACCAATCCTCTTATCATACCTACCGCACACATTAACTCTCTAGCCTCTGCCACGGCACAAACTTCTGCCGGAGCTCAAATAAATTTATCGAAATTATACAACAATCAAAATGCCTCCTCATCATCGAATACAACGTCATCGTCGACCATTATAACAAATATTGTGCCGGGCTCGGGCCAATCTTTGCTGTATAATCAAGAGAAACGTGATAAATTCATATTGGAATATGAGTGTTAGCAACAAGGTAATTTATTATTAGCTTGTCAAGTGTACGATATCAAAGGAAACAGCATCATTTCCACATCCATTTACCTTTATTTGTGTCTGCAAAATTTACCTTTAAGGTTTAATTTTTCATAATGTTTTCATCACTCTTACACTTTATCTCCCGCTCTTTCTCTCATTGTCCTTGGTAAAAGGAAATGGGTTTTATTTTCCTGTTTAATTGTTCTTATGTTTGTATTTTTGTAAATAGTAAATTATGGAAATTTCAAGGTTTGTGAAGAAAAGCCTAGAGGCCTTTTAAAAGAGTTTGCTTTCAATTTAAAACAATTATTGTTGGCAAAGTATTGATAGTTTCATGAAAGAAACGAAAGAAAGTTGCTCAGTTTCAAAGCAACATTCCCACAGAAAATTCTAATAATTTCTCCCATAGAAGATTCTAAGCAATTTTTCTAAGAGAAATTGCTTGATTCCAAGCAATTTTCTTATAGAAAAGATGCTTATATTCCAAGCAATTGCTGTATAGAAAAGCTGCTAAGATTCTAAGCAATTCATATAGGAAAGTTGCTAAGATTCTAAGCAGTTTTCGCTATAGAAAAGTTGTTGAAAATCTAAGCAATTTTCCTATAGAAAAGTTGCTTAAATTCAAAGCAATGTTTCCATAAAAAAGTTTTTTAGAATCTAAGCAATTTCTATAAGCAATGTTCCTAAGAATGTTGCTTATTTACTCAGCAATTTTCATATCGAAAAGTTTCCTATAGAAATTTCCAAATTTTTCCCTAACTTTCTTACAGAAAAGTTGCTTGAATTCTAAGCAATGTTTCTATAGAAACGTTTATTAGAATCTAAGCAATTTCTCTAAGCAATGTTGCAAATAAAGTTGCTTATATTCAGAGCAACATTCCTATAGAAAAGTTGTTAAAATTCCCTATAGAAAAGTTCAAATTTTTCCCTGTAGAAAAGTCGTTTAAATTCTTAGCAATTTTGCTATAGAGAAGTTACTTAAACTTAAGGCAATGTTAACTTAACTTTCGTATAGAAAGGTCCCCAGATTTAAAGCAACTTTCTTACAGAAAAGTTGCTTGAATTCTAAGCATTGTTTCTATAGAAAAGTTTATTAGAATCTAAGCAATTTCCCAAGACAATATTCCAAAGAAAGTTGTTTAATTTCAGAGCAACTTTCCTATCGAAAAGTTGTTAAAATTCCCTATAGAAAAGTGCAAATTTTTCCCTGCAGCAAAGTTGTTTAAATTCTTTGCA